TAAATTGTTTGTTTAGTAGCATATAAAATATATTCAAATATTGAAACATTATTTTATACCATGTTTTTATGAAATGTTATATCTATAGATTAAATATTTGTCATCAAACTCACACATTAGTCGTTTAGAATTTTTCGATAAATACTAATTTCATTAATCTTGGCTTCTTTATATAACTGTTCGAGATCTCTCAACATCATGTTTTATCGCTACATTCTTTCTTGTTCCCACCGACGACTTAATATCAACCGTCCTTTTTCCTTTTGACTTTTTTTTTCAAACATTTTTTTATTATCTTCCGAGATTTTTCTCTTTTTTGGCCAACTCTTCTTTTTAAAGTTTTCCTCTTAATACCTACACCAAATTATTGAACAGTTAATTACTTACGATAATTATGCATTATATAAAAATATTAAAAACGAACTAATAATTAATTAATAGCTAACTTTCGCTCGTTAACGAAGATTATAACATTGAAGAAGAAAATTTTATTTTTTAATGTTATAATAATAATAATACCCAATAATAATGAATATTTATTTAGCAGTTTGGAATTATTTACATAATATTGATATTTTAAAGTTACATTGCAACGTCTACCACTAAGGATATTTCCTTGTTTTTATAGACGTGAGTCTCAAAAAAAAAAATGAATACATAAAATAATAATAATAATAATAATAATTCATAAGTATATATCTTAATATATCTATATGTGTTATCAGGGACGCCCGGATAGGGGGGGCAGTGGGGGCCATTACCCCCCCTGAGATTTTCGCGTCACTTACAAAATTGAAAGTTATTTTACATAAAGCTGATCTTAGGTATTCAGTGATTATTCGACAATCCTTGTATCTAACAAGTATCTAACATTAATTAAAATTATTAATGATAGTAATACAAAATATGAGTAGATGAAATATGTAGCAGTAAATCTTCCTATAAGTATTTAGGTACTTACAATTTTTTTGCCCCCCCCCCTGAGCTACATTTCTGTGGGCGTCCCTGTGTGTTATGATAACAAAAAGAATAGCTTGTTAATAATAATAATAATATAATATATTATAAATTATGGATAAAAGAAAGATAAAAAAAAAAGATAATAATATAACAATTCATATTTGTATAGTTAGCCTAAGGATTTGTTTCATTTGTCAATAACCATATCTTTATTAATAGTACGAAAATATCAAATGATCGACAATTTTTTATAGTAATAAGGAATCTTTTCATATAACTTCAAACCAGTTATCAGAAAGCTATCATATAATTTAGATGTGTTTATTTTAGGATATACTATATTTATAGATCGCGTATTGTATGTATGAGCGGTTGGTTGTACTAAATTTTTACTTGATATATAATTTAGAGTTTTTTTATAATATGAAAGTTCAATCGTAAATATTGATCGAAAATGACTCCTAAATATTTGGTTTTATTCTAATCTTTAATTATAATCTTCCATTTTCAACTTTTCACTTAATTCTCTCGAATTTTTCTCTGCTTTCCGTACTTACCTGCCATAGAAAATATAAGTTAAAAATCTCCAAAAATGTTTTCGTTAAACATAAAAACATGTTTAATATAATATATGTTGTAATATAAGTATTTAAAATGTACAGCTTATTTTAAAATACGGGTATTGTAAAACTTTCCCGTCCATGTAATAACATTACATAACATTAGTTACCTTAAATTAAGTATATCGTCATTGGCGGATTGGCGGGGAAAAATTGTCCATGTACATAAACTCAATTAATCAGTCGAAACAATAAAACTTTTTTATATATCAACATTTTATAAAATTTAATATTTAATAATAAATTTTCTATGAATAATTTCAACTATATAGACTAGGTACCGAATTTTTATTGTTGACTATTACAAAAATGAAACGATATATGTCACTTTAATCATCATTATGGCATTTCACGATGATAAAAAAATAGCTCAATCTAAATCAGAATTAGATAATATAAGAGATCTTATACAATAACCTAGATAAAGAACTAGCCAACTGTAAGTGAAGCGGAGTAATAATTCTATCATCGCAAAAATATCAATACCGAAAAATTGTATACAGACTATAAACTTACGTTGAGCATTTTTTTTTTCTAAATGTGTTCACTTTATTATACTTGACACGGCTAAGAATATTTTCGAGATTAAATAGGCACTTAAAACCTTAAATAATCAGATTTGGTATGAATAGAAAACAAAAATGATGAGCTAGAGTAGAGTGGTTCAAGCTTTTGTAGTTGACAATTTTTACATATATGCAAACAAACACTGGAAGAAAAAACACCAAGAGAAAAAAATTATTTTACTATTTTATTAGTTACCATGCTGTAAAAACTGTTAAAAAAATAATAATAAAAATCATAGATCATATGTGTTTTTTTATGGTATAACAAATAATTAAAAAACAGAATTCAAATTGCAGGATTCTATGCAAAATGTTCTCATTTAGCGTTTACCCACTGTGTAAGTACTATATTCTTATAATCAGGTTTCGTATTTTATAGCATTTGCTACTTATTATAGGATATAGATAAAGATAGCAGAATGAGTTATTCATATGTGATATTAAACAGGAACTCCAAATTAGAAATTTAATTTTGCTATTTCTTGCATATTTGAAGTATTTTAGATTTTTAGTGCTATTTTTGAAGTTTTAATTATATATTTTGCTAATATACATGATTTTATGCTTTATTTTTTATTCTTCATAAATCTCGTTTATATCGAATGAAAAATAGTATTCATTTATGGGAATCCAAAAATTCCCACATTTTTATTTAATATTTTACTAGAATCTATTTTTAAGTAGCCTGGCGATATTAAATATATTTTTACATTTACGCCCTCTTATCTGTTTTATTATTTTAATTTTATTATTGTTCTACAATATATTGTCGTCTAACGTACGTATTTCATGCTTTCAGTGTCATTTCTGCGTGTTTTTTAATTTTATTTCATATTCGTTTAATACTCGATTGTGTATTATTTGTTTTTCTGTTTCGATACCATAAAATGCCGAAAATTAAAACATCGAACTATTCGAAACTTAGATATTTTGTGTCTGAGTTTGGTGGCGATGATGTTTTTACAATTGATGCAATTATTCTATTTTGCAAATTGTGTAAATTTAAAGTTAATAGTGACAAAAAGTTTAACGTAACTCAACACTTAAAAATGAAGAAACAGTTACATACAAACGATATCACCATTTAAGGTAAAACAGGTAAAACAAGACGTACATATAAGTTTTTTGAAATTGTTAACAGAAGATGGTTATTTTAGTTTTTTTTATTAATGTATTACCTCATAAAATAATATAATACATTTAATAAAATTTTGACTTACATTTTTTTTTTTTGCTATTTTTGTTGTTTTTAGGGCATATTTATAAAACATATTTTAAGGTTATTTTGATCATATTATAGCAAAAATTTTAGTATTTTCGGTGTTATTAAATCCGAACCCTGCTTATGATATTACGCGGCTATGTTCACCTCGTCCATACGCGTAATACGTGAACGCATGTTACCCATTTGATACAGTGTTTATTTCAGGGGACGACCTGGTTTAAAAATACATAACCCTTGAAAAAATGTATTTACCTACTTATTAATTATTTACTCCTATGACTTACCACATACCATACCGTTATTTTAGATTCAAAGGGGGTGCCCGCAAAAGTTTTTCATACATTACAAAAAAAAATTCAATTATTTTTTATTGATAATTTAAGAATCTTACATTTTTTGTCTATCAATAGAATAACATGAACAATTTACATCGAACAAAAACGATTATAATTTCTTGTGCATATATAGGCCCACACCAATAATTGTGTTGTATTTTGTTTCAAACAATTATATTATTCAGTGCATTGTAATAAAAATTATTGAAACGTTATCTTCGTTATTGGAGGAAATCGTTGATATTAACTATCGCAAGTCACACATCATCTCGATTATTTACATGAAAAAAAAATATAGTTCTTTATTAATAAATCCTAGATTTAAAAATATAAATCCTGCTCATGATACATTAAATCATTTAGATAAAAATTACTATCTAATACATACATAATTTTTTAAAAAATTTTAGTGACATTGCCAATTTCTGTCACAACAGCAGAAAGAAGTTTTTTCTACTATTATTAACTGTTTAACACTTGATTTAAGTCAAGAATGGGAGAAGAAATATTAACAGGATTGGCTCATATACAATATCCATAAAGATATAATTAAAATTTTGCCTCACAATAGGAGGAAAATAAAGGGACAAATAAGGGGGTAATACCCCTGGTCACCCTTCTAAAATAAACATGGGTTACGATTCTATTAAAGAAACTAATCATTAAAAAGTATAATACTAACTTTATAATAAGTATAATTGTTTCATTTATTTTATTATTTAAAAATCTGGTAAAAAAAAAAAGCATACTTATAACTAAGTATTTGTAGAAAAAAATAGTACAAGAATATTAATTATTCAATAATACATTTTTATAAAATACTCTTATTCAATCCAACCAATTAACTTTGGTTTAAAAAATTTAATTTATTTTATATTTATAATATACTCATAAAATATTGATAGTTTTATTATAATGTTAGCTATATTTATCTTAAATACTTAAAACAATAAAGTATGATGTAACAAATAATATCTTTAATAAAACATAAAATTAAAATAATATATAAAAACTGACTTATTACATTATAGTTTGTTGTTTAATTTCAACAGTTTACCATTGGACGGAAACAATATTGCACTAATAGATTTTTGGTAAATTACTAAGTTTAAATGTAAGTATAAACTAGAAATATGTTTCACGTAGGTAATTATGTAAGTTACTTACTTGGTAAATGGTATCTACATATTTTATGTCAACATTTTTCTTATATTTCAGTATTTACTAATAAAATTGAAAACAATACCAATTTAATAATTCATTTTTAAAAATGTTTTTCAATAAAAATAACAAAACATAAAAATGAACAAAATAAACAAAAAATCAACAATAAAAAAATGTAGACGTGTAACATTTTTTAATTAATTCCTCTTTCCTGAACATACTTTGTAGGCAACTACTGTAGCATGATCTAATTTACCTGGTACACCAAACATTTTTCTAATAATCTCTTTTCGTCTTTGTTTGACTTCTCCCTGTGCTAAGGGTTTTCCGTTAGCATCTGCATATATTTCCATATCTTCTAATATACGACGTTTAGCTGCAGTTAATCTGGTCACAAAATCTAATAATAATGTCACTAAGTCTTTGGCTGTATCTACAGCTGGTCCTTTGCCAGATACTCCATTACGAATTAAATCTTCAGTTCTGAGAAGAGAAAGCTTGTGTCTCTGATAGGCTTCTACGTTGGGAAGTCCTATACTCATGTTTATGACAATTTAGTCAAAAGAATATATTATATTACATTAAAAAAAAATATATATATATATATACATACCAGTAAAATGCCCAACAACAGGATCTAAATTGTCTGATACACCATCTGAAGTAATAAAAACAATGTCATCTAAATCAACCTGTGTTATGGACAATGTTAAATTTGACAGTTCTGGATTATGCCCATCCACGGGACCTAATGCTCCCATAACATCCCTCATGTCTCTCATTCTATGAATATCATGTGAGCCTTGAGTGAGTTCTCTAACACCATACTTCGGGCTGTACACGTAACCCAAACTATCACCAACATTACAACAACAAGCTACATAATGATTATCAACTGTAGACGGAAGTACTACGATTGCTGTAAGTGTAGTCAAAGTCCCTTCTTCTTGTAATATCATATTATGGGCAGCGTGAAATGATCTCAGTAATGTAATAAGTACATCCTATAGTTGAAAAAATGTAATTAATTTAATTAAATTTAAAAAAAATGAATAGATAAAAATTGAACATAATTAAGTGACTAATTAAATTAGATAGTTAAAATACATTTTGCACGGAGGAATAATACTTCTTTTAAATATTCTGGATATTTATTTATTTTTTATATTTTGCCATTTAAAACTATTTAAAATTTAATAAATAAAATAGTTACTGTAGTGTTCTTCGGCACTTCTTTATTTATTGGAAATAATGTTTTGTTTAAATATTCCACACAACCATGAACAGCAGACCTAGCTGCTGTTCTTGACTTGACACCCCAATTAACGCCATCAGCTAATACCATAATTGCAGAATTTACTCTGGCAACAATTGCAAAACAATCAGCAATTGGATCACCAGTGTGACGATGTGTTATAGGATGCATTTCATATAAAGAACAACTTGCGCCATATGCATTTATATCTGAGACATTCCAATTTTCAACACCAGCTACTAATGGATGTCCTATAAATTATATAAATAATTAATAGAATAAAATAAATGTATTAATATGTATTAAAACATACTGAGCTTTTTTAAAATATTAGGTTTGGACTCGGAAATCAAAGTTTCATCAGTCATAGCTGATGCACCAACTTTCTTTTGTCCACTATCTGATGTACAAACTTTTTTTTCTCCATTATCTAACAGCAAAACAATATTGATTAAAATAAATCCTATAAAATAAGTAAAACACATAAGCCATATTTATTTTGTATAAAATAACTTGCCACATTCCTCTTCAAGATTATCAATAAAATTAATTTCTGGATCACTTGCTGACAAATGTTTTTCAGTTTGATTGACAGATACAAGACCACCATGAGGTCCAGTCAACGATGATATCACATCAAAGTTTTTAATGGTACCTAATTGCTGGGGTGGCACTTCTTGTGGCGTTCTCCCATGCAATATAACAGGTTCATACTTTTGAATACCATGGCTAAATTTTGAAAAAGAAAAACAAAGTGAAATTTCAATCAAATATTATCATTTAATTAAGAAATATTTACCCGCTTAAGTATTTTTTAATGAAACGATTTGAAGAATTTTCGTCATTTCTGGACTCAGATGGCGCAGAGAATTGTCTGAAAAATCCAGAGAATTTCTGCCTGAAGGATGGCATGTTTATATTATATTTATGGAGATTAAAATTTTAATTTCATAATTATAACGAATTATTTTGTTTATATAAACAAAAAGACAACAATTTTATAAAAAATTTTTCCCTCTCCGTTCATTAAAAATTGACTAGATAATAATTATCATTCCGTTTCAGTAAGCACTCACACTTATAGAATAATAATATTTTCGAACACAGGTAATGACTACTTAACAACTACTGAATGGTTCAATGGTATTCTTTATCAAACAGAATCTGATTAGACGATATACAAATACAATTGATATTATTCCTTATAAGAGTAGGGGTACTCAAAGTAGGCCATAAGCTGTAAACATTTGAAAACGTTTTATTATCAATTTAATTTATACCAGGAAAATATGTTTATGCATAGTCTTCCGATGAAGTTTGATGATTACTGAACGTCATTCGGTGTTATTAATACCAAATATTTTTTTCCACGAGATACGGAACAATTTATCGCCTTCAGTCATCAACAAATTATTAATTAAAACTGATGCAACGAAATATAAATACCATACTTGATATAATTCATTATTATGTTATTGAACCACTTGACTACCGACTAATTCAATTAGATTTGAAAACAAGAACAAAGTTTAGCGGTATTATATGTATAATGTATGTATTTCAACTTCTACCAATTCCTTAACTTGAAACTTATTCATACTGTTATTAAATTGAGTTATTTACGTTGTTTAAAATTTCTCCTCTAAAAGGAAACCTACTTCAGAGCTGGTATTTTATTCTCTCTTAAAAATTAATTTCACGAAAGTCTTAATCCCTACTAAAAATTGATTTTTACATTGCATTTTATTCAACTGACCTACTTCATTAGATCTATTTCTTACGTATGTACAGTTCTAAAGTACATATTAATGTACAGTAAAACACATTAAAATAATTATAAAATAAAAAACACTATTATTGACTAGATAACATTTTTAAATAAATAATTACCAAAGTACACATATTGATAGGAACTTTTAAATAGTTGAAAAATATCTCTAAGCTAAAAATAAAAATATAGTAGTCCATCAGTTTAAAAAAAAAAAATTATAATAGTAAAAATCAAAAGTTAAAAGACAATAGGTTAGGTTACATACCTTGTATGTAACCTAATCTATTGTATACATGGTATACTTGCAGGTGTTGCTTCCTCTACCACAAATTTTTTTCTGTTTTCAACTAAATATAGGTTTAGGAAATTCAAAAACATGTAATCAACATTTTACATGGTTCTATATATATATAGAAACATATTTCCAATTAATTTTGATTGTTTCAGATGATCCAAAAAATCAAACCTCTTCTTAATAACTTATAGTTAATATGAGTAATTTAATTTTCACATTATTTAATTAGAAATATAAGTAACATTAGAAAATGTTTAATACTCATAAAATATATATTTTTTTTAATAATCTTTGATATTGACAGTTTTCTTCTAAATTTAAAAAGTATTAATAAAATGTAAAATCAGTTACAGAATACAAATTTTGTTGAGACCCGTGTTTTTTTTAACTTAAATGATTATATCATAACTAAAAACATAGTTTTATATAAGGAAAAATATAATGTTATAACTTCAATCATACTATATTTTAACTTTGAAATAATGCAACTGTCTTAAATAACTTTTGTTACATATTATTTTTATCAACATAACTAAGTTTTTAGTACATACACATTACATCAATGAAAACAGTATTAGTGAAAATAGTGAAATACATGTTACTTTAGTCAAATAAAAAAACACAAATTTGTCCTTACATTTATATTACTATCATAATTATAATAGTAGCAGTAACTTAATATAAAAGAATCGATTTATTAAATCATTCATAATAAGTATGATAATTTTGATGAATTTCTTAAAATACAACTGATCCGATAGGTTCTGCTCTGATTGCACTCAAATCAATTGATGAATCCATTGTTTCATCTACTTCACCAATTATAGCTCTGAAACATTATAATTGTTTATCTACAATTATTTATAAGTAAAACATCTATATTATATTTTATGATAAATATATCTATTATTTTTAAATATAATATAATAAAAATTAATATTATAGTGAAAACTAAAATTAAAAATAATTTAATTATTATAGACAATTTAAGTTATGCCTTTTATTTGTAAATTAATTTGGAAATACTTTAAAATATTTCTATATGCCATTTTACATTTTATTCTTAATCTTAACAATTTTAAACAGAAGTTGTATAATTTGTAATTTTACAAATAGTTCACATTATTAATAACTAATACGTAAAAATAACTTACACATTGTCACCACGAATAAGATGTAAACCTAACACAATTTGTTCAACACCTTGATTTGGGCTGTAAACTCGTTCATGGCTGTCATCTAAAATTATATTTATAGTCTGATCGAATCCTTTAAGTGTTCCCTAAACATAAAACAAATTAATTGATTGTACAAAAATGCATATTATTAATTAAATTTAATAGTTTATTTACCACAAAGTTTCTGCCATCAGATGTTATAATAGAAACTGTATCTATTAATACAACAATAAGGATAATAATACATAATTTCAAAAAAAATTAATGCTCAGTTACTTATTTTGTTGTTTAAATATATTGACTTATCCTATATCAATAATATAATTATTATTTGGTTAATTTGAGTTAAAAGGAAATAACTTTTTTTTGGTAACATATATCTTCAACTCATATAATATTCAAAAAATTACTTTTTACAATTTTTCATTAGTTAAATAAAAAGGTAAAATAATAAAAAACAAAGTATATCTAGAAAAAATCATGTATATTTTATTTATTCCCACGTTCAAAGTGTCACTAGTTATCTTTAAATTAAACAACCACGACTTATCTACTAATAATATTGTTGTACTGTGTTAATATATATATTGTAATATTCATCATTTATATTTTCTTTCAATCATTAAATAACAATGTTATAATGCATTAGTTTCAATCAAAGGATACGGTTAACATAGCTCTCTAATCCCGAACTCATTGTATTTCTCAGAAATACAAAAAAATCTCAATTAGAATTGAAACTGTAAATAAAATAATTTTAAACAATAATTAATAATAATAACAATACACAAATCCTATAAGCAATAAACTTTTAAATTACAACACAATGTATTAACATAACAATTAAATTATATCAACTATGTGGATGATACTTTACTTCACTCACACAAATGGACGAAATGATTTGAGACGAAAAATAAATAAACCTTAGATATAAAATTAAAATAAGATCACGTTCACAAGAACATAATACGATAACTATTTTCTGAAATGCTTCAAACACAAAACATAATATTTCTAAATAGATACTTAGGTACTTAAAATCAAATCGCGGTTTACTTGTTTGCAGTGTTAGTGCGGTGATAAGAGTGATTACCATCGCTGTTATCACTGCAGTTGTATAAATATATACGTAAATCTTAAATCGTGCAGTACAGTAACTGCCTCCATAATATGTAATTATCACGATAATTACGAATATTTCAGAGGTCTTAAATTTACAAATTATTCAGAATGTAAATAATTTAATATAAGTGAATATTCTACAAAGTGTATCGTATTTTATATTCATTAAAGATACTAAACGTAAATAGTTTTTTATTTTAAACATTTTTTTAAACTTATAAGATTGTTATTACGATATTTTATTTTTTTATTGTCAATATTCAATGGAAGTGTTACCAAAGTTGATTGTATTTGATTTAGGTGGGTACTAGGTTATTTTATCTTACACGCTTTAGAAAATTTAACAAAAATTGATTTAATTTATGTTAATAATAAAATACAAGTTATCAATCCTTATTTAATTGCATTTAAAACATTTATTAGGGAATACAATTTTATCTGTTTTATTAATAATTTTTAATAAATTCATAATTATAAAGCTGATGTTATAAAACGAAAGAACATAAGTATAAATCAATTAACATAGGGTAGTACATTGTGTTTATAATACAATGTTTTTGTTACAGATTTAACTTTATGGCCATTTCGTACCGATCATTGTCAAAGACCTTTTAAACTTGTTTCTTTGTAATAAATTAAATATAAATATAAAAATTAAAATACCTACTAAACTTACAATTTACAGTGGCAGAATAAAAGATAATGATGGAAATGAATATGAATTGTATCCTGAAGTACTTGACATATTATCAGAGTTAAAAAAAAAAAATTATACATTAGCAATAGCATCAAGAATTGAAGATATTTCTACTGCTTATCTATTGCTAATTTATTTTAATATATCAGATTTTTTTAAGTTTAAAGAAATTTATCCTGGCTCGAAAATAATTCATTTTAAATGGTAAGAGTATTGTTTATAAAATATTTTGATTTTTTTAATTCTTAATTGATTATGATAATTGTAATTAATACAGGTTGAATTTGAAAAGCCACATACCTTATAGTCAAATGATATTTTTTGATGATGATAAACGTAATATTCATACTGTAGCTAAATTAGGAGTGCATTCATATCATTTGAAAGATAATAAAGGGATTTCACTTGAAAATGTACGTCAAATATTTAATTATAACATAATTAATTAATGTTTTTACTTTAAGTTATATCTATAAATAAACTTATTTTGAAAAAAAAAATGAATATAATATTAATGGTATTTTTACAAGATGTGCTACTTTAACCAAATATAATATATTTTTGTGATGTTACCCTCAAACGAATACAAATTGTTAATTATAAAATGTGAAATACAACAAAAGATACACGACATCTGGAATAGTCCCTCACCAAGAACTGGTGACCTAAAAAGTAGAGGACCAGCATATATATTGAGGGATGAGAAGACAGAAGGCAGTTGGATTTAATCACAGGTGGAGATCAGTCACCAGAGATTCTTCTAATTATGTCTGAATGTGCACTACCTAACCATTACAACTTAGAAGTTTATTGCTCCAAGTCCTCTATTACAAGTAGGAATGTACATTGGAATCTTTGTCTAGGCCCTTACACACTTTCTTGTTTTATTATATTATTAAGTTAAATAAAAACTAAAACTTCTTTATCATCAATATTGTATCATTCATTCAACAAGTCAACACCTAGGTCCCAACAGTATCTATCCATTACTTTTCACGACATCTTATACACCCTTGTAACATAAATCAATAGCAATGGTTACCTAAATTTACATACATGGAAAACCAGAATTATGTGTAAAAAAGTTTCTAATTATTTTTAAGCATGCATTGCATTTTTTATTGTGAAAAAAATAAAAGTTAATTATTATTTTTGTAAACATCTATCATACTTTTCCGTTCTATTTATTTGGTGTATATATATATATATTATACATAACATAAATATTTAACTATACATAAAGTAATTAGCTACTACTTACAATGTAACAAAAATAAAACAAATAGGTAAATATCAACATCAACAATATATGTTAAACCACATAATAAGACACATCATATATTCAATTATACAGGCAATCCAGATGCTTTATCACTCAACGCTTTCTGTTTAAAAATAAAATATTTAAGTAAATGCTTTATATTAATAATGATAATTTTTGTATTATACATACTTTCATCGATGAAGCTGATTGACAAAACGCAATACCTACATTGCGGATTAATGTCATAATAGCAGGTGGTATAAAATTGTTACTGCTACCATAAAGTTTTTGAATGCCATCAACACCCAACATAATAGGAACATTACGACGCTGTGCAGCGGTTTCATAATTTAAAAGTGCATTCAGGTCTCCTGAATGAAATAACATAAATATTTTTAATGTTGTTGTACAAATCAAGTACAAAAAGATCAAGTACACACCAATATCAGCGCCTGTCAATAATGATTTATTCAGTTGATCACTAAGTTCTATAACATCATTAAAACCTAAATTAACACCTTGACCAGCCAGAGGATGTATTCTATGTGCAGCATCACTAATAAAAAAAAAAATTAAAAAATCAAGCAAATTAATTAATTAAAAATCATACTATAGAAAATAAAGTGTAACTAGTCACTTACCCAACTAATGCAACACGCTGACCAACATACTGACAAGCATGACCAAAACCTAATGGAAAAGATCCTCTACTATTTTCTGTCACTCCAGTAATAATAGGTGGTACAGATTTAACTACTTTGTGTAATTCATTATTGTTGTTTGATTGGCTAAATTTACTTAATACTGTTGTCACCATTCGAACTACATCATCTGCTAAAAGCATACTACTTTTGTTCAATTCTTTTTCTTCCTAATCAATAAAACATAAATTATTAAAAATAATAATTAATAAATTTAATTGCATCAAAGATTACTGATAAAACATCATTTAAAGCTTGGATGAATTCATTGTCGTTCAAATTGATTAAACGTTGCGCCTCTTCAATACTAGTAGTCCATACTAGTGAACATATTTGATTATCCAACTACATTCAAGACATTGCATAATATTAATAAATTATAATATATTATATTAACAACTTACTGGTAATAAGGCAATTGGACCCAATTGAGCAAATTTTTGCCAAGCCACATGACCCTTGTAGATATCATCCTACAAAAGAGTTAAAATACTAATAACTTTCAATATTTCATAAGGTAAAAATTTTACTTCATCAGATTGTATGTTTAATGTCGCTACAATTGCGCGTTGCCCATACTCCCAACTAACATATTGTTGATCATTTATAGCAGAACGTACTTTTGAACCATATCCATCTGAGCCAATCTATAAATGTAACACATATAGTCGTACTCAATTCTAGAAGGGAATAGTAAACAAGATGTTGATAAAAAAATTGAAAAACTAATATATTCTACTCACTAAAAGACTAGTTTCATAGGTTGTCTCTGCATTAGCCACTTTTACTGTAGCCATTTCACTTGGTGTTTCTGGCAAATTGCATTGATTCACACGTGAATCGTAATGAACAGTTATATTTGGATCATCATGAATTTGTTTATATAGTGCACCAAGTATGTTGTCATTTTCAACAATATATGCCAAATCATTATCATTATTAAATGTTAAAACATTATTTGCGCCACCACTTTGACCTCCACCAGAATTCCAAATCTGAAATTTAGACATGATAACTATTTTGTTTTATTTTGTTTTTAAATAACTAACCCGCATTTCTTTAACTGCATTGCAACCTTTAATGTCTTCAATAATTTGCCAGGCTCCAACAGATTGTAAAAGTTGTACACTTGACTTACTTACAGCAGAAACCCTATTGCTATAAGACCTGTTTGGAGAATTTTTCTTTGTGTCTAGTGCATAATCTTTTTTTAAACCTCCTTCTAATAAAAGTATAGAAGCACCACACATTGACGGTTCTTGGGCTAAAAACACAAAAATTAGGAAATAAGTGATCAAGTAAGATATGATTGAAAAATCAGTAATAATAATTACATAATTTACTAGCCATGGCACAGCCAACCATACCACCACCAGCTATAATGACATCATAGTACTTTTTGTTTGAAGAAAGGGACGAGTATAATCGGACAGCAGATAATTTCATAGGCATCATGTTCATCTTTAAACGTCTTTAGCAAGACTATACGAAAATATAAATCAATAACAAGCAAACAAATATTTATACAATAATACTTCTCCAATAATACTCACAGCAAAAATTTTAAAATCTAAAACAATAGAAAAAAAGATTTGAATTACACGATTTTACGCAGCTTTTAACAATTGAACATGATGACAGTCATACATTTATATGTACTTAAACAACATTCGACTCAAAACTAAAACAATTATGCATAATAATAAAAAATTAATAGCCAAAATATCACAAAATAACTGATGTGTGATAAAAAATAATATTATTTAAAAATCGTACCTATTCTAACGTGAAATAGGTATTTCAACAGATAGCGTAAGATGTTTGATATGTTTTCTTCTGTTATCAATCAATTGAAAAAAAACTGTTATCTTATGATATAATCATCGTAATAAAAAATGTTTATTACTATCTATTTAATATATTTGTAATTTGTCCAAAAACCAATAGGTTTTAATTGTTGGATTATTGAATGTGTGACTACGGATGTAGTAATTAAATCGTCGAGTATTACTAATTAATGTTTATGACTTATCTGTCACAAAATATTTTCTTTTTCAATTTTAGTGTTCTTTATAAAACAAATTGGTGTTGATATTTTGAAGGTGTTAATAATCTACATTGTATTAAATTAATTTATTCAAATTCAACCTCAAATAAGCATCTAATAATGAATTTAGTTGTGTTCTAAAAATGATCTACAAACATTATTAACAAATTGTTGGTAAGTGATTGAAATTATTTTGGAGAAATAAAGGTTATTAAATATAATAATATATTTATTTTTAAATATCTTATAATTTATTTTTAAAATGAAACACCAATGCATAATTTAATATTTCATTGTAAATAATGAATTGGTAGATATTGTTTCAATAAAATCAATTATATTATAACTTATTAACTGTCTACTTGTTTATATTTTTCAGACATTAATTTTCTAGCATTATACATTTGATGAGTTTAAATAAATCAGACAAAATGCCTTCACTGGATTCAAATGTTGTTAAAATAGCGGTTGAAATGGAATCTGAAAATCCACAACTTAAAGAATTCAACCAAAAAATACCTTTATCAAACATAATTCAGGATCTGTGTAATGGCTGGGACTTGAATGATCCTGAACAATATGCATTAAAATTTTCTGAAAAAACCAATGAAAACTATGTTACTGAAAAAAATCGAAATGAAATTAAAAATGGTTCTGTATTAAGACTGGCATTTTCTCCTTCAAAGATTGCTTATGAAATATTGCAAACTCTTCATTCTGAAGGGTCTGATGATAAAAATGAAAGAACTACTGCTCTACAAAAGTTGGCCAAATGCAGTACTGACATAACATTTGCTCTTGAATTCATTAATAAACAAGGACTAGCTCTCATTATTAGTCTTATCGAAAGAGGTTTGATTACATTTAATTATTATTTATCTTCATTTAAATACTGACATGTAAATCATTTTTTTTCAGGTAAATGTCAAGGAGCAATGTTAGCTAGTGCATTAGCTTCATTTGTTGAGTTAATGGATCATGGGATTGTATCATGGGATATTTTAGAAACTCCATTCATTAATATGGTTGCCAGCTATGTTAATAATCAAACATCCAGGCCTCAAGAAGCAAAAGTTGTTCAATCTTCATTATCTATATTAGAAAGTATTGTTTTAAATAGTTCTGCTAAGTATGGTCAAGTAGAAAAAGAAGTAGGATTTCCAAACCTAGTATTACGGCTTGAAAATCAAAACCCCATTATACAGCAAAATGCCCTTTCTTTGATTAATGCTTTATTTTTGAAAGCTGATCCAGCTAAACGAAAAATTATTGCTAGCACTTTGTGTTCTAAACAAGTTCGTAATGTTATACTACAAAATATCATACAAACATCATCTGATGAAGTTGGGTCTGAAATGGCTCATCAGCTTTATGTTATGCAAACATTGTGCTTTGGATTGCTCGAAGAAAGAATGAATACCAAAATGGACCCACAGGATCAAGATGCTCATGAAAAAATTAAGGTGCTATTAAATAACTATTTTTATGAACTATTAGGCAGATATCTAAAAATTAGACCAAGGCTAACCTTCATTAATAAATTTATTCTATATCTCTATCTGATTAATTACATTTCTATAATTACTTGTTTAGTTTGATTTTTAATTAAATTACAAATATTTTATATTATTTTTAAATATTTCACTAAAAGTAATTATTAAAATTGTTTTTTTTATTAAATAATTAAATTATAATTTTAGGAGTTACGTAAAATTGCATTTGAATTGGATACAATTAGCGGTGGAGATGCTAATCGACGACAACTTGGACCTTTCACAAAAGATTATAAAAAGTTGGGCTTTAAGTATGATATAAACCCTGCACTGGATTTTACTGAAACTCCACCCGGAATGTTAGCTTTAGATTGTATGGTGTATTTTGCCCGTAACCATGTTGATGCTTACACAAAAGTAAGAACTATACTCTATTCAAGGTAATAGTACACTAGGTGACTGACAAAAACATTTTGTATCCATGCATACTTTACCTACAACTGATTATTGAAAATGCTGTCTCTAATTACCTACTCATAGCTCAGTACCACCATTGAACTATCATTACCTATCGTTTGCACCCAAACTGGTGTATTCTCAACTTAAATAGAGTATATAAACTTATTAAAAATGATAAAATATTAATATTGGCTCTTTATAAACTAATTAGGTTGTTCTTGAAAATTCATGTCGAGCAGATGAACATGAATGTCCTTTTGGTCGATCTTCCATAGAATTAGTACGCTTACTTTGTAATATACTTAGAATTGGTGAACTTCCAAGTGAACAAACTACTACATACCATCAAATATTTTTTAGCCATGATCATCCTTTCCATGAATTATATTGTGTTTGTATTGTTTTACTGAATAAAACGTGGAAAGAAATGAGAGCAACAACAGAGGATTTTGTAAAAGTAAAACTTAATTCTTTTATTCTGTCTTAGAACATCCTATTTCAATATTATCATATTTATTATTTTACTTGTAGGTATTAAGTGTAGTTCGGGAACAAATAACTAGAGCTCTAGGTTCGCAGCCAGCTAATTTAGAAAAGTTACGACAAAAGTTATACACTCTTACTTACTCTGAAATTACTAATTTATGGCAACAAGAACGTACTTCAAGAGAACAATGGGAAAGCCATGCACGTCCTATAGTACAACTTAAAGAATTGGTTACACCAGAAATTGTACAACTTATCAAAAAACAAAGACTTAATTACATGGTTGATGGCACAAGATTTACTAAATATTCTCAACGCGGACAGGTTAATTTTCCATTAAATATATTATTATCAATAAGCCAAATAAATTTTAATTATATTTTTAGACAAAATTCTCTATTTTATAATTTTTTTTTTTCAGAGAGTAAAAGATAAGTTTTGGTTTGTAAGGCTATCTCAAAACCATAAAGTTCTTCATTATGGTGATTGTGATGATAAAAGTGTCCCTACCATTGAAGAACTTCCAAATAAGTTGGGAGTAGTTGATATTAAAGCATTACTTACTGGTAAAGACTGTCCTCATATGAAAGAAGCCAAGTAAATTGATGAATATTAAATATTATTTTATTTTAAGAATATCAACCTATATAAGTGTTATCTAACACCTATATAATAATAAGATCAGCTAAATAAAAAATACTTTTATGAAAATACATTTCTTTGTTTGATTCCATGGTTTTATTTCATTTTTATAGGAGTCGAAAATCTACATCAACACAACAACTTGCTTTTTCTTTGACTTTAGATTCTGCAGAAATGACTCCCCTTCATTTTGTCGCTCCAGATGACATGGTTTATGATTATTGGGTTGATGGAATAAATGCATTACTAGGTGAATAAAATTATATATTTAGTAACTATAAAAGTTACATATAAAGTTCCTTAAATTAATATTTGTTAAAACTGTTTCTTTTTTAATTTTATAAGTAATAAGTAGGGCTTGGATTTTAAAGCACAATAAATAATAAAAATAATATAAAATTGTTTGAAAAAAGCAAAAAAATAAGCTTAAACAATAATTAAATTAAATAAAAAAATTGAATAGAAAAAAATTGAAAAATTAATTATTAAATTAACTATCATACATGTATTTAAATTTTCATTTGTAAAACTGACTCTATTAACAGACAAAAGGTTTTTGTACATCAAAAATAAATACTTCACATTTACTGAAGTGATTGGTGCATACTTCATAAGGGCTGTTTCATTTAAATAAAACTCACCATAATCAATATTTCATGTGAAACTTCACAGAATGTTGTTAATATCTTGTAATTGTTTCCCAGCTCTTGTTTTTTGAAAAAACACAATTTAATTTACCGAACATTTTTAATAATTGAAATGGTTGATGTTATGACCTACTCGCTGTAGTAACATTACGATTAACCAAACATTTGATACAGTTAATAATCAAACCGATAAACAAAAACAAAATTAGAACCTCTCACATCCAATAGAAACTTTTACTTACGAGGAGTAAATTATTATGTTAAATTGATATAAATAACCTACTGTTATACATAATTAAGAAGCGTACTTTTACATTTCTTATTATTAATTAAATATAAAATTTTTATTATTATACCACAAAAAACATATTAAAATTCCATAGCTAGAATAATTGCAAAACAACCGAAAAAAGGAGAAAAATATTAGTTTATTTAGAATTAGAGTGACATGGAAAGAATTTATGTATAAAAAATAGCATACACTTTAAAATCTGAGCCCTAGTAATAAGTGTTTCATATTAGATGTTTTTACAAATGTATCGTTTTGTATATATAATTTTAATAAATAACCTATCAATTTAAAAAAAAACATTTATTAATATGTAAAATATTAATCAAATAATAGTTCATATATAAATGTGTTCCATTAATTTAGTCCATTAACTTAAAATATATTTGAAATATTTAATAACGAATGGTTTAATGAATTTTAATTTTTCTAAAATACAAATTATCATAGCGTTAGCGAGTGATAATCATGTTTTTAAAAATTTAATTCTAAAAATAGTGGCATAGAACAAATTTACATATTACGATTATTCACAAGTAGGAATTAATTCCATTAAATAATCAAATGATTGTTTAGGAAACAAAATGACAAGTAAAGAAGCGGAAAATGATTTGGAAACATTATTGTCAATGGAAATAAAGCTTAGACTTTTAGATGCAGAAGGGGTTGGTGTAGATATTCCTCAAGATCCACCTCCTGTGCCCAGTGATCCACCAAATTACGAATTTTGTTATGATTTTAAATGAAATTTTTAAAAACTATTTCATAATTGATATGTAAATGTGTATAAATTAAGCTATTTAATATCTTTTAGTATTGGAGTGGTCCCACATATTATAACCATAACCACTAGTTCTAGCTTTAATTATGATTTACGCAGTTGTATGTTTGGTCGTACTACCATATTATTTTGTGGTACTACACAGATATTAACAATAAAATTCAATTTGCTGTCAACAAGAACATTATATGAATCAAAACTGTTAGAGTGCAGTGTGTGGAATATTTTGATCTAAATAGGGGAAATATATTTTTATATTTAATTTGTGTCTTATACTAGTTAATTAGTATTTAAAATTATTTCCATTACTGACATTTATAGTAGTGTTCGTGAATAAATTTATTATTTTTTTATACTCATTCTAGTCTGTACAATTGAAAATATATTTATTTATTATAATTTACCAGTCTGAATTATTTTTAATTTATTTTTAGAGCATAAGTTCAATTGAATTTTCACAATCTTTCATTAGTGCTGCAAAAAGTAAAAATAGATTATGAGCTATGATACTCAATGAATTGATTATATACAATAAATATTTATTTTTAAGTTACCTATGTATAAATAAAAAAATGTATTGTACAAGTACTTTAGTTTTAATGTTTTATATAATTAACTAAAATAAATATTATTTTTGAGTCAAGCTTAGTTAGCCATAAATATTATTATATAAGTCATACAAATGTATGTCATGAAAGTTTTTTTTGTACTTGTGTTGATAAGAAATATATATATATATTCATTAGTGTAGAAAACATTTTAATTGTACTATATTAATTGTGAACCTTTATATACTACTATTACTATGACTTATTTAACCCCCTTTGACTAAATTATACTTTTTAAATAAGATTCCCTTTTAATATTAAATAATATTAACTCTAGTTATATATATATAAAAAAAGAGTACCTCAAATTATTAAAAATTTATGAAATTTAAAGATTTTAATATTAAAGATAATATATAATTACTTTAATCATTATTAATAACTTAGATACTTGCTTAAATTGTAGAAGAAAATGACAATACATTTTAAAGTTTCTTAAAAAGGTTATTATAAAAGTCACTAAAAAATATTTATTTTAAATAATAACAAACCTAAAACAAAAATAAATAATATAGAATATAAAATAAAAATTATTATTTTGAAGTTTTGGTAAAACCTTCTGGTAACGCTATATCAAAAATAATTGGGTGATTAACTGGTAAATATTGTAAATTACAACTTGATGCATTAATGTATATTATCTTTCCATCTGTAGTGATTCCATAATCTGAAATTAAAAAATGTACATATTTACATAACTATTTAATGTCACTCGTGTCAGTAATTTTAATATCAGTAACTTATGCTAAGCAAATTTATTAATATATTAAAATAAATTGTATGAACATATCACATGTATGCATTTATTATTAACACTAAAAATTTATAATTATTAATCAATTGTCTGTCCATTGTATGAAAATGAATACTATGAACATTCACAAAAACATATTAGTTAGATCTTAAATTATAAAAAATTTTTAGACAAAACAAAAATAAACTGTTAACAGTAAGTTAAAAATAATACCTTCGTGTACATGTCCAAAAATATGATATTTTGGAACCACTCTATTCTGGACAGTAGATAGAAGCTCTACACATCCTGCTCTTATACCAGAATAACAGTGATCTCCATGACCTAATGGTGGACTATGTGTCACAAGTATATCAATCCCTTCAGGTATTTTATTCCATTTGTCTAGACATGCTTGACCACGAGGAATATTAAATGCCCATCCACCATATACTGGTTGCCTGTAAAAACATACTTTTTAAATACTAGAAAAACGTTCAAAAAACAGAAAAATGTATAAAAAATGAACACACAACATTTTTATTATTCTTACCACGGAGAACCATAAATTTTCAGTCCAAAACACTCTGTCATAGAATCTTCTAAGTATATACAGTTGGTCAAATATTTCTTATTGTCTTTCTGCTGGATTACAGTACTAATAAGATCGTATTCATATCCGAGAGAAGAAGTACTTATACCGTCTTCCATGATTGGATGTGTGAATTTAGGATCAAAACTAAGCTCATGATTACCAGCAATCACTATTTTGTAAGTGTGAGGCAACTGACTGAGCCACTCATTGAACTGTTTGATTTCTTTCATTTCTCCGCAGCTGGTGAAATCTCCTGCATGGATAAATATGTCTCCATGAGGAATTTCATACTTCATCAGATGTGTTTTTGAATGGGTATCACTCATGCACACAACTCTAACCTATTTACATACACACATAACGTACATAATAGGGAATTCTGTAGTGCTAATTAGATTAAAGTACTGAGTAAAACGAAGACATACTTTGTTATCATTTACCGGACCCTTGGGCAATGGAGGCTGTATTTTCAAGACCTTCTGAGAATTTTTAATGCAATTCCAAGCCATTGTTGGGTCATTAGTCAAGGGGTGCACTACCACAGACTTATCTTTCAAAGAACAATTCATGTTATATTCTGTTCCGTTACAACAGTTGAAGCAGGAAGGTCACAGTTAAGCACAGGCACTGAAGTTCAAACTATATCAGTAGTTCAGTCAAGTAGCAGAAGGTTTAGTAGTTTAAGTATCTGGATATTGATGCATTAGTGAGCACTGCAGCTGCTGCATACTTTTAGTAGAATGGTGACTGGGCTACAAAAATTGAACAAAAACAATTAAATATATTTAAACAATATAACTAAATTAATTTACTAACTAAAAACAATCAGTTTGCACACGTTTAGTTGCTAAATTACTCGTTACTTGTCTACTACTTACAAAACGTCAACTATACTATACTATACTATAGACAACTGAAGCATTATCCACTTGCTGCGCGAACAGAAAAACTCAATTACTTACCTTTGTCAAGACGACTTGTATGGTTGCCCATGCTCGTGCAAAAAATAACAATATATTATAATTCGATAAATTTTATTGTTTTGCCAATCCGATCACAGAATAAGGATTACATAAACAATATTCTTATGTTTTGATACTTCAAGTTTAATGCATTCAACCAAGATAAAAGATCGTGAATAATTAAACTCGCGGATAGAGATAACAAACACACTGAGTAGATATTATAATGATTTTTTAAGAAAAACACGATATAAGAATTATTAAAATGCACATTTTAATATTTATCTTGCCGGTAAGTGTTTATCGGACGAATTGTTTTCACATGACGACATATGTTTATCTTACTATACGTAATTTGGGAATACCTACTGTAAAGAATTTTTAAAAATTACAATTTCTATTGCGAATGCAATGTTGTTTAAAATCGTACAAAAATTGTATTAAAAACGCATAAAATCAAGTATGAAATTAGTTAATTGCTCGTACATAACAAAAAAATGTTCCATGTACATCAATATTTAGTACAATTGGATGTCCTCGATTGGTTCAAGTAGAGTGATGTATTACAAAAAAAAAATTGTGGGTAACCGAGTAACTAAACGCTTTTCACACGTGGATAGTTGAGAATACATCTACCATAAAGTGAATATAAATATCGGTAGAAGGTACTATAGGTAATGTACTTCGTACTTGATTTCATGTTTATATATGATTTTAACTCTATAGATTTTGTTCTCGTACCTATCTAAAAAATTTAATATGCTTACGGAATTACACTGAACGGTACACACGTGTCTTATTGTATTTTTAGTGAGAACACGCAAAATAGAAATGTGTATAGGCACCATTACATACCTCTGACTAAACGTCACATTGTCATTTGGCTCAGAACCGAGTACGTCTAGACCAAGTTAATTTATAGTTAAATCATGCCATGGCAATACCGTGGATGATTTCAACATTATTGGAGGAGAAAGAAAGGAAATTTATCCTCAAATTATATTTTCGAATCAAACTGCCCTTCGATCCAGCCTATGGTTTTTAATTTAAAATATACTCAGTATGTGTTAATAATGTTCACAAATTAAAAATAATTCCAAAGCCCATAATATAATAGCAAGTACGATTCGTAGAATAATGTTCATTTCTAAATTATATAGTAGTTATAAAGATGAAAAAATTAAGCTGTTTTTGAATATTAATTCAAAACTTTTTTTCGTGTAGGTACGAGCGGTATTTTGCACAGTTGAACTTTTTATATGTATACCGTGAATACTTATTCTTATTTAAAATAATTTTTATGGACTATCGGCGTTGTAAGGGATGAACTTCCCGTTTTTCCATCTTTATTTGTAGAGCTACGTTTTCTCGATCTTTAGACCAAACGCAACGCCAAACGCATTGTCACTAGGTACACGCATTTTACATATGACCGTTTTTCTACTTACGTTTAATGCAGTGCGTCGGTAAATGACGCATTGCGTCCAGATGCACTACAAATCTGAACTAGTGCTGTCCTACGTCTACACATTAAAAATGTGCAAAAAATTTGTGTTTTCATCAACCGAGGATGAAATATTGAATTAGTTAAACAAAATAGAGAGATATTTGACGGTTTTCATCCTAAACACAAAATTATTTATCTAAAAGAAAAATTTGGAAACACATTTCAGAAAAAGTCAATATAGATATATTCAAAATATATTAACACTAATTAATTAAAATTGTATTTAAATATTATATTTTCCAGTTAGATTACTAAATGTATATTATTTAAAGTAGTTACTTAACTTATATTAAAATGATTTTAATTTTATTTATAAATGCAATAAAATGCAAATTTTTTAACATATGGAAATTTAAAGAGTTAATTTTTTTTGTAGATAAAGATTGTAATAAAAGATGTTGGAACATCAAGGATACATATATAAAACAGAAAAAAAACTTTAACGGGGTAATAGGGTTGGCTGCTTCTAATAAATTTAATAGGACATAGTTACATTTATCGTTTAGGTATCGATTCAGTTGAATATGAAAAAAAGTACCTATTGAAAATTTATATATTTTATTTAATAAATTGTACGAGGATTGTAAACTGCACCCAATATACAAGTTAACATAAAATCATATATGAAGGAAGCGCACGATTTTTTATCAGTGGAATATGGTGATAAGTAAACTGCGCCCGAGTATTCATCTAGTGCAATAAACTTTTATGTAAATTGCACCAAGGTAAAATTTAAAAAATGAACAGCTATATTTTTATATAATTACAATCTTTGATTTATAATTGATTCGTTACAGCCATATAATAATTAAAAAAATTAATTTAAAATTAAAAAAAAATATAAAATTAAGATAAAAAATAACATATTGTTGATATATATTCATCACTTGAAGCATTTATTTTAGAATATACTGAAATATTATTATATAATATATTATATATTCGTATATTCTAAAATCAATGATTGAATTTTGACTTCTATTATATTTAATTTTGTACTTTATCACGTTTTTTTATTTTTAGTTTTAGAATTTTGGTATCAAAGGGTTCATTTATACTAATTAGTTTAATATTTGTTTCTATTTTAATTTCTTTTAATTTTTCTATAAACATGAAAATATATGGATAAGTTTTATAAAAGCTAGAATTAGAAGCTAAGTTTTGATCACTTAAGCGATTAATGGTTATGGTTTATATTATGTTCTGTAATTCTGTCGTCATCACCATCCGTTTTTAAAAATGTTGTGCAAGTTTTGACTGTACATCGCCACTAAACCTGCATTAACATCGTAGTAGGATGGTCGAACCATATTCATTCTGGACCTCGACACTTGATGTATAATTTTTTTAATCACGAATCCATAATAATATAAATTTAATAAATTGTATTGTTTCAACATTGAACCGCTCTACTCTTGTGACGTGGTGAACATGGGTCTAAAACGGGCAATCATCCGGGGCTAGGTAAATTCAGTCCGCGATATTTTGTGTACATTTTGAAAGCGGTAAATTGAGTCCCGGGAAAAAAAATATATTAGATAAGTTGGGTCCCGGGGAAAAAAACGTAGTAGATAAATTGAGTCTCAACTACTAACTATACTACCTCGCCGTAGTCGTTTTTCAAATGACAATTCACACCGTTTCTATCAGTTATCGACTCCATTGTGATCAAATAACTTTGTAATGTCGTAACTTTGATTGTGTCTAATTAAGATACGTATATAGACATATACGTACATTAGTTAGTCGTATATCGTGTGTCAGTTATCAGTTAACACCAATATTGATGATAGTTCTTATGATGACACACAGACATGAGTGTACGAAATCTAAGCATTTTCACTATATTTTTCGTAGCGTGCATTGCGTACTGTACGTCGATTTGAGTTTGTTAAATTCGTATCTTTTAAGTTTATACCGAAAATTTAATAAAAAACACAATGACATTAAAATTGACTTCTAATAAAATTTATTAGATATTTAAAAAAAAAATTGGTTACCTTGGACTTAACCTATTACCTTTTTTTCTCGGGACCCAACTTACCTACTACCTTTCTTTTCCCGGGACCCAATTTACCGAGAAAAAGTTATTTAGGACCCAATTTACCAACTCCCAATCGTCCATCAAATATTAAAGGGATGGTGGGTACCTATTCTTAGTACATCGAATAAATCTGCCATGTATTTTCATTTTTAAAACGATCAGTAACAAATTTAAAATGTATTGCTAACCATTGTTCAACATCAATATAAGCAGTGGCGTGTCGAAGCGGTTATTTTGCGGCGGTTACCCCTAGTAAAACATTTGAATGGTAAATGGAAAATTAGTACCGAACAGTAAAATATTTTTGCTTTTAATTATTTAAGGTATAGTACACTAGGCCAGGTACCAGTTGTCCAGTTATTACTTAATAATACCGAGTGGCAGTAATGTGACAAATAGCACCCGCTCCGTCCTCGGTTCAAACAGAAAAAAAAAGTTATTACTTAATTAAAAAAATTAAGACGTTCTATTAAATATAAGGACAATATCAATTTTTAAAGGGTGGGTGGTTACCAAAAATGCATGTTAGCCCCAAACAAATAATCTTGTCGCCACTGATTATATTTACATAATATTTTGTTGTTAGATAAATAATTTTCAATGGTTCGTAATTGCAGTTTTTTTTCGTTTCATTTAATCTGCTACAGTTTTATATATACAAGCCATAACTGTAAATTTTTCCATTTATTTGTGAAGATTAATTATGTTACATTATCTAAAATAAAAAACTGTACTTTTTAGTATTTTTTAATATAGTAAATAATTATATCTATCTAGAACTCAACAACAATGTGACGTCATTTCAGAAGAATACAAATATTTGCGTATTCTGATAGATTGCATAATTTGTTATAAATATAAATTACTATAAATTGCATAAGTTAATTGTTATCAGTACAAGTGATTTCATTTCAAAATTATTAAAATTTGCAATTTTCCTGATTAAGTCAATTTTGCTTACTAATATAGCTCATTCAAAATGCTTTCAAGAATAAATAATTACATATAGCTATACTATTACATATTACATAAGATTCGTGTAATCGTGTAAATGGAATAAAAAAAATAATTAATAATGATTTTTTTGATTTTTTTTATTAATGTTGAATATTATTTTATATTAACATATTTTATGGGCATCAACTAATCTAATTTCATTATCTCACTACTTTAAATTAAACAGTGCTAATGAACCACAATGATGATCCTTAGTAACATGATTGGAAATGCATAACAGAACCCAATGTTACTTTTGAACACTGGAAAAATACATAGGTTAGGTTAGATATACTTTCACACCTTTCTTTAATAGGTACCTCATCCGTAATTTTTGGTAACTTAATCACGCAAATTCAATTTTATATTATATTCAATACAAAAGTACCTTTTAAAATCACTTTTGATCTAAATCATTATTAAAAAATTATAAAATTGTAAATTAAATATTATAATTTTCCGGAATATTTCAGAAACATAAAAATTTGTCTATTCATATTGATTTTGGTAGAAAAATAACTATTGACTTCTAGTTTATATTTTTAATTTCATAGAATTTTAAGTGAAAAATGCAATAGGTACCCACATTGTAAAAGACATAAAAATATGTTGGTTCACCTTTATGTGCGTATATAAAAATTATTTAATTTAACAAAAATACTCCCCAAATATTCTTTAAATAGCTATTTAATTGAATAGAATTAAAAAATTTTCAACTAATACAGTTAAAATGTAATAATTTAGAGTAGGTATACTTATGTCATATAAAATGGCAGTAAGAATTTAATACTATACAAAATGATTGTATATGTAAAAGAACACACTGAAATGTAATTATTTAACATAGACTAAAATTATCTATTGGCCAATTGACTATTAAACACATTTGCTGTGGTTGTTGACTACAATCAATAATGGAATTATTTTATATACATCTACTAAAATATGATAGCATGGTTGAAATAGTTAGATTTTTAAATAAATATTTTTTGAACTAATAAATAGTTATAGGTATTATAGTTTGATTGATTTTTTTTTTAAATCTTGATATTTAAGTTCTGTACTATTTTTAATGCCAATTTTGCTAATTTTAGTATTTTACCATTACCTTGAAGACACAGCAAACACGTTAAAATGGGGTTTATAAATTAACAAATGCTTGGAATAATTCTAAAAATTCAATTTCAACATGTAATTGAACTACTTTGTTGGCTGGTATCAAGAACACTTTCCCTGTTGAAAAGATTAAATCTGATGACTCTTCTATTTTACATTGACCATGAACAATAAGGATTATAGAAGCAACATCTCTTTTTAATAGTGTATAGATGTTATTTGCAGGAACCTAAAGAATAAAAAAAAAAGTAAAGTGAATTAATTAAATTTCATTATAGTTTTGATATTTGAAGAATTTTAAATACTTTAATGTGAGCAACTGCAAAATCAGGTACAGGTGGCCTAAAAAGGGTTGTATAAGAATTTTCTTGAATTCCGTAAAATAACTTTGATTCGACAGGAGCACCATTAAAATTTAACATACTACATAAAGTTTTTACATCAATATGCTTTGGAGTCAGCCCAGCTCTTATAACATTATCAGAACAAGCCATACATTCAATACAATCTAAAGAAAATATTTACACTTAACCATATTATAGTAGAATAAGATTTATCAATCAAAGTCATTAATTTCATAAATAGTTATCTCTTCACCCTAACGTGTGCTGACAATTATGAGTTATAATCGAAAATATTAATTCAACTTTGGGTTTTTGACCAATCTTTTTTTTTTTTTTTTTTTTAATTATAGTAAAAATGAAAACAAATAAAAGAAATATAACCTCCATGGATGTAAGCATGAGGTTCATTAGCTCCTAAATAGATTGCTTGGCCTGGTAAGAGTTGTATATAATTTAGAAAATAAATGCAAAAACAACCCACATCATTTGGAAACCAACAATCAAGTCGATAAAACAGTACTGTTAAGAACTTTTTTTTTTCATCATCACCTGAAATACAATTTAACAATAACATTGATAAGTAAATAATATTTATTAAAATTTAAGTAAAATATTGTTTATAAAATTTTTTGATTATTAAATATTATAAAAATATGTTAAAATAGTATTAATCTATAGAAATTAAGTTAAAATATTTTTATTAACATTATAAGAAAAATGAACTTTTGTATAATATTTTCCAAATAATTTCTTACATATAAAGTAGAATAGTTCAAATTAAACACTTTCAAAGAATTAATTATTATTTTGAAATTAAAGTTCATATGTTTTTATTAATATTTACTTACACAGTGATTGTAGTTTACTTTTATGACTTTTTACGTTTTGGCTTATAATTTCTTTTTCTAATGTCATTAACTTATAAAATATGTCCTTTAACAAAATTTGTGAATTGTTAATGTCATCATTAAATTGTCTAATGAGATCATATCCAAGCATTAATTGAAATTCTGGTATTTCTAAATGACATAAGAATGTGCATTAACATTTTTGTTGTATTACAAAATATAAGAGATAATCATAAATGTAGCACCTTTCAAAAAAAATTTAATTTCAGAGTATGGGCGAAAACCGCAAAGCCCTTCAAAATTACTCAGTGCAATAGCCATTTCTGGTTTGTGATTAGAATCTGGATATAATTCGGGAAATTGCTTATGCAGTTCTTCAGCACGATCCTAAATTTGGTAAGAATTATAATGTTGCCAATATTTAAAAATATTTTATTACCTTTGATGGATGTACTTGGATAGAAAGAGCAGAATTTATGGATAATACTTTCATTAAAAATGGCAATTTATTACCAAATTTCAAAATAGATGATTTTCCTAATATTTCTTCATTGTCATTGATCCAGTCACTGAGTTTTTGCTCAGAATTTTTAAGTATCGAAGGACTTTTGCTATGAGCACCCATCCATAATTCAGCGTAATATTGTTCTTCATTAATAGATTCTATATGTTGGCCAGCCAAACTCAGACGACTGACTTCACTCTCGGAACCCCTTTTTCCCCATAAGTAATTTTGAATGAAACATTTTAATTCATAAACTTCAAGCATAGTGAAAATATGTTATAAAACTATAAAAATAAATAACCAATTATTATTGAACAATCATACTTATAATAATAATAATAATTATACCTTATCCAGAAGTAAAAACTGAACGCAATTAAAAAGGTTAAAGTACACGTAAAATAATGAGAATTGATATGAATTTCAATTCAAGGAATATTTTATTGCATCCCCAGCATAAACATAGAACATAGTGCCATAAATAAATGTTAAATCATGGCGCCAAGAAGAAGGTACATAATACGTATAACAGATCATCAGCTGTAGTCTAAGGCGTGCCAACACTGAAGTATAATTTCACTCTCGTATTCAAATTAATTATTAATAATTATGTAAATCATACATTTAATTTTTTTTTTTGAAAGTCACAACTGTAATCTCTGTTAAGATTTTATTTAGAGCTGATAAAAAAAATGTGATAAAAATTATCAATGAACTGGTAAAAAAAAATACTGAAATCAACATGATAAGAAAATAATACAAATCAGAGGAACACAGAATAATTCTAATATCAAATACTCTTTTTCTGTTTACGAACAGTAAACTATAAATAAAATAAAAATTTTATTAAATTAGAGTGTTGTGATACAATTAATATAAATGATGAAATCGTCTAAATCATAATATTTTTAATTTTAGCATTCGTTTTACCATTCTATTTAGAATTGTTAATTGTTTCATCACCATGTCTTTGCTTACATCTGAATGGGTTCCATATAGAAATGAAAATTACTTCAGGTATTTATTATACAATAATATTATATTTAAAAGCATTTTGACTCATATTTAATTTGTAACATAAAAAAAAACTAAATTATTTAGTTGCTATTCGTTGATTTTTAATTGTTTTAATTTTAATTCTTTGCGCTATCTATCACTTTCTACTTTATGAGGTCTATCATTCACCTGCATATGATCGGTGGTTTGGTCTTCACATTTTATCTATGGATACTAGTCATACTTAATTTATTTTTAATTGTTAAGTATTATCTAGTAATATTAATTTTTTTACTAGTTTTTCATTTATTTCAGAAAACTTGAAATATATCCCGATATGTATTGGTGTAATGAAATAGATATCAATACATCTGTTGTAATTGCAGCATCGTGTGGAGGGCCAATCATTATTATTAGAGACCGAACAAAATTGGTCTCTGTAAAAACAAGTGGTAAACCAATCATTTCTGTGTATACATCATCTGGAAAAATTATTTCATCTTTTGTAGTGCGTTTAAATTTTTAAATTGATTTATTAGTTGATCCATTAATTATATTAATATTTTTTAATTACAAAATTATAATGATATAATTTTACAGTGGAATTCAGGCCATTTAATAAATTTAGGATGGTCAAATAATGAAGAAATATTATGTTGTCAAGATGATGGTTTAGTTTTAATTTATGATTTATTTGGAAATTATCAGCATACATTTAGTATGATGAAGGTAGATTAACTTTTGATACCTTAATTAAATATCATTATATAAAGTACATAAAAAAAAACTAACTTTTCTGTTTTTAAACTTGTTCAATATAGGATCGAAAAGATGTTAAATTATTAGATGCAAGAATTACAAGTAACTTTACAAGAACTATAGTAGCAGTATTAACTGAAACATATAATATTTATGTAGTGAATGATATTACAAAAGTAAAAGTTCATATTTTACCTGAAATTCCCGGTATTTTTATAATTATTATGAATAAAAATATTTAGTAATACTTAAAGTCACATTTGGCCATGTATAAAATATCTAAATTTTCTCTTGAAATTTATCATTTTGTTGCTGTATAGTTAGTAAAAAAAAAAAAATTACTAAAAAAAATTAAATGAACAAACTATTATACACTTCATGTATTTTGATCTGTATTTAATTTTTTAAGAAATTAATAAAATTCTTTAAAAATGTATAATAATTTAAGCAATATAATTGTAAATTTACAAGTTATATTTTAATTAATAGTTTTATCTTATATTATAGATTTTAATAATATACCAAATTTATGGGAAATAATATTACAAGAGAGACAAACAAGTGTATTGATTTCAACTCAACATTCTTTGTATTCTGTTTCACATGCCGAGTGCAAACAACAAGTGTGTCAATGTAATTGTGAACAATTTATCAGAATTTAATTTAATTAAATTTATATTTTTACAGGTTATTGGATTTAATGACACTGATTATAGTAATGATATAAATGTTATAAATGCAATTAAAAAAATGTGTATTTCATCTGATCACAAACATATTGCTCTATTAAATAATGATAATAGGATTTGGATTGGATCTTCTGATTTAAGAAAAGTGTATAGAGTTTATAAAAAACCTTTTACTAGTTCAATTGATCAGATGGCATGGTATTAATAATTACAGTTATTATTACTTTATAATTATAAATACTTTTTTTTATAAATAATTTGATAACTTAATTAAAAATAGGTGTGGTTCGGAAGGTGTAGCATTATATTTCAAAGCAGAAGAAGTAGTGATTATTGTTGGTAAAATTGATGACCAAGTGACTTTTATTTATACTGATCCCATTTGTTTGGTGTCAGAAATTGATTGCGTTAGAGTTATAGGAGCATTTACAAATGATTTGCTGCAATTAGTACCTAATTGTGTACAAGATATTTTTCGTATTAATAGTACTAGTCCTAGTTCTTATTTAGTTGAAGCTTTCAAACAATTTGAAGTAATTTATACAATTACAAATCTAATTATAAAATATTAAAATAAAAATGTATTTTTAGAAGCGGAATCATCGAGCTAATGAATATATACATTTAGTAAATCAAATGCTAGAAACTGCAGTAGATCAATGTATCAAAGCTGCTGGACATGAAATTGATCCTTCAACACAGAAATTATTGATGAAAGTAAGTTTTTATATTTATAGAAATTTAATTGTAAAATAATATAAACTAAAAATTATAAATACATTTTAATAATTTTAATAGGCTGCTCAATTTGGAAAAACATTTCTGCAAAATTTTAATCCAGATCAGTACCTAAGTATGTGTAGATTACTTAGGGTTCTAAATGCTGTTCGTGATCCAAAAATTGGTATTTCTATAACATATCCTCAGTAAGTATAAGCATTAATTAAATATACATTGTATATACATGTGTATTTAATCTATGGTATAAAATACTTTATATTCAGTGCCATTTTAATAGCTGCTTCAAGATAATATAATTTTTGCCGTTATAATATTTATGCTAATAAATTATTAGAAAATAAAAAAGCTGTTCTTAGTTAATTATTCAATTTATAACACATAAATAATATTTATGTGTCTAGATTGCAAAAAATATCTCTACAAACATTATTGAGTAAGCTTGTTGGACAACGACATTACTACTTAGCTTTGCAAGCATCTTCTTTTATTCGTGTATCTAGCAATATAGGATCTAGTCATATTTTAACTCAATGGGCTAAATTTAAGGTCAGTATATAAAAAAAATGTTAAACTATTAGTAAATTAATATTTAGTTTTTAAATCTTGTTATTTTTAGGTGAAACAAACACATGTAGATAAAGAACAATTAGCTATTACAATTGCTGATAAACTTGGTAAATATTCTGGAGTATCGTACCACAGTATCGCAGAAATGGCTGCAAATAGTGGCAGAATACAACTTGCTATAAGAGTGCGTATAGACAATTATTATTTATAATCAGTGGTGAAGGAAGACTTGCTAGCGCTCCTGGCAAACTTAGAAAAAACGCTTTTTAACCAATTAAAATTTGATGTTATGATATTTTTTTAAGTATACAATTTATATTTATAAGTAATTATTACAGTTTTAATTTTAAATTTAAAAAACTTGCTTTTCTAGCTTTATGAATGGCAAGTTCATCGATAATTTCTTTATATGAAGTTTTTTTTTTTAATGCTCATTTTTAAGTACTATTTTCATAATTTCATCATTAAATTCACATGTAGCGTATTCAAATAAACAACATCTATGTATTTCAAACAGTATAATTGAAAAATTTAGAATTTATAGTAGGATAAAAGTACGACTTTTGCACAATTTTGAGCCCTTTTGCAATTCGCGCTCCTGGCGTAGGTACAGTTCGCCATACCCTTGCTATGCCACTGTTTATATTATACAATTCTGATATTAAATTGGTAAAATTTTCTACTACATACTATTTCTTAGTAAATAACTTTCTTGTATATGATATTAAGATGCCTTGATTATTTTAGTAAGTTCTATAGGATAATATTGAATTTTATTAAGCTTTGATGAGATTTTAATCTAGTTTTTAGTTAACTTCAATTCTTAGCCATAAATTACATGTACAAAAAATTGGAAAGTATTTATGCTTTTCCTTATTTGTTTATTTTATATATTAAGAAACCATAAATATAATACAAGGTTAATTGTATAGTGTTCTAACTATAATGGAATTGCATATTGCATAGTGCATGTTGATATATAATCTGTGAATATTCTTTCCGTAATGTATTTTATAAATATAATTGTTTACTCAAGTATTCTGTCGAAAAAAAATATTTACACACCATTTTTTATACTGCTATTAAAAAGCAATAATATAAAATAATAAATATAATATAGTAATATAAATTTTATACCCTACTATATTTAATATTTATTTATTTTTCCTTTCATATAGCTTTTAGATTATGAAACACAAGTTAATTTGCAAATACCTTTACTGTTAAAATACCAACAAGACAACATTGCTTTGAAAAAAGCTATAGAAAGTGGAAATACTGATCTTATTTATATGGTCTTACTTCATATGCAAACTTCTATGCCACTTGGAAAATTTCAAGTTAGTATAAATTACAAATTAATAAAAATGAAAACTATAATATAGTTTTATAATCTATAGTATAATCTAAAGTATATAACCCTAGAAATAGTATTATTTTATAGGAATTTCACTGATTGTGATTACTTATTATTATCTGCGTAACTATACTCAAAAGGTAACGAATAAGGCCACTACATCCGTTATCTGCAAGATTTAAATATGGGCTTTATAATAGCTTTTAACATGTTATTCAACTTGAATTAACTAATTATTGAAATATAATATTATTAATAACACCCACATAAAATACTAAAGATTTTATTTTTAAAAAGTCATTTTGTTAATTTAAAAGAGGAAACATTTTAATATTTTTTATTCGAATAATTGTGTAATGTATAATTTAATAATGATTACCTTTTAGCAGTTAAAACTTAGCTAAACCGTTTATGTATATCAAAAACCATCCGGTACCCGAAAATTTTGGGTAGTGGGTATCCACTACCAAGGGCATATTTAGACTTTTTTCTGGGGGGGACTCAAATTTTTTCTTTAATTCAGGCTCAAAATAGACAAGTAAAATTTTTGGTAATATTTAAATCAGGTGAATCCTTAATATTTGTTGTTTTTTTTTTAAACTAATGCCGGCTCCACTTAGAATTAACTTTTGTGTATTTCTTTTTTTACACCTGTCTGTATTTTGAAAGTTACGCTTGTGTTTTATTTGATTTTTCACTAAGTATGGACACTAAGTATCGTTATAAAATGATCCACATTAAAAAAATTTGGTAAATGTGTATCTCACATATGATCGATTCCTTAATACGAATTCAAGAGGGGGGGGGCGTTCGCCCCCTTCGCCACCCCCTAAAATACGCTGCTGCCCACTATCCGAAAACGTTGACTACTCATAAAATCGGGTATTACCCACGTCAAATCAAGAGCACTAATTTGAATTTAAACATAATATCGTTTTTTAGATGGAAATAAAGAAAAGTTCAGTTGCTCAAGCTTTGTATATAAAATACTGTCATCAGCATTCAGGTTATTCACTTTTGGATATGTACACTCAAGAAGATAATCATGAACAATTAGCACTTTATCATGTCACAGAGTCAATAAAATCTAATGTATTTTACTATGTTTATCAGTTTTTAATCAAGTAGAATTTATTATTATTTTTAACTGTATATTCATTTTAGAACTCCAAAGAAATGTCTGTATCAATTAATGAAGCAATTAATTGTTATAAAAGAACGCGTGATGAATTTTCATTAACTACTTGTGAAAGTCAATTAAAGTTAATTAGATATCAAAGTAGTTTAGAAGAAAAATTAAAAAATAATTTTCGTGATTTAACATTACACGACACTCTAGTAAAGTTACTAGAAATCAATGAATTGAAACTTGCCGATAAATTACGTTCAGAATTCAAAGTACCTGAAAGAAGGTTATTGTCTTATACTTGGCAATTCAATTTAGTTGATAATTTTACCATGATAATTTAATATTATTTTTATCTTATTTTAGATATTGGTGGGCACGAGTTACTGTATTAGCTAAACAAGAAGATTGGAACGAACTTGATAAATTATCTAAAGTTAAAAAATCTCCAATTGGATACGAGGTAAATAATGATTTTTATTTAATATTATTTTTGTATAGTACTAAATGTGTTCTTCATAATTTATATAGCCGTTCATAGATGTTTGTATTGAACATGGAAACAAATATGAAGCATTAAAATATTTGCCAAAAATAAGAGATGATCTTAAACAAAATTATACTACAAAAGTAACATCAATGCCTTAAACTAGTTCCTAATATAATAAATATTTTTAGGTAAATAGTAAATATTATATTCCATGGAAATTGTAAACCATCAGACCTTACATCCTACTATTAATTTTATTATTATTCAATTAATCTTAACTGTTTTATATATATATATATATTTTCTAAGAACAATTTGTTCTTTAATTATTACCATAAAATGGATTTTAATGACTTTACTTTCTGTTAATTATTTTTAAAGAGTTGCGTTGAATATTTTATTATATACTTTAAAATAAATATAGAAGCATTTTATTTTTTCACATGTTACGACAATTCTTAATAATTAGAAGAAACAAATTAAAATCTTCTACAGATTATCATTGCATGTAATACAATTCATTTAATTAATACCGTTTTATTTTTGTTTTGAATATCAATCTTTCCAATATTATTATCATATTTTTTTCTAAGATATCATATTTTTTAAATTAGAAGACACACAGTAGCTAGTTGTTTCAATAGTTATGAAAATTTAATATTTTTGCAATAAAATGTGCATATCATTACTGTTAGTGCACATTAGGTAATTTTTAAAATTTCTTACAAAATAGTTATCTTGTCTTTCCCTTTACTTTAGTATTGACTTTTGTAAAAAGTTTTATTATTTAAAAACTCAAAACTGGAAAAGTGGCATTAAGGTAATTCTTGTTAAATGAACAATATTTTCTAATTTTTTAAGTCATGTGGACTCATCACTAAATGGCACCTTTGTGATCAACTCAGATTATCCGTAAATGAAACTTTTTTTGAAAATTGTAGCCGTTTATATAACAGACATTTATATACCCCGTCCCCATATCCCTCTAGTCAAACCTACTATTGTGAGGGTTCTGTTAATTCATTGCTTCTTCAAATAGCTTTTATATCTATTTGGTTCTAAACGCTGTAGTATTATTTGACATTTAAAATAATCATAAAAAAATAATTTGTGAACTAACAAATATCATTAGTTCTTAAATATAGCCAATAGTAGCTCTTATGTTATTTATAATTTTTTTTTTCTTAAACTAACTGATGGTGTATTCTTAAATTGTAGCAAGACCATGGTTAAGAGGCACACGTGGATTTATAAATGAAAATAGAGAGGGAGGGCTAGTAAAGTGAGTTACTTCCATAATTTGTTGCGCATGTCGATTTGTACGGTCTTTCCTACATCTAATTTTTTAAATATTTGAAGTACCTACATCCGATATGGTTCTGTTTAAGGTCTAATGGGGGGGGGGAGACTTTGCTCCTATAGCCCTCCTCCTTGTATCTGTGCCTGTTTAGATGGTATGGTGATCTGAAGTTTGGTGATACTCGGTTTGTTACCCGTCAACTGTTTACACCATAGGTTCCCAAAGTGTGCGCCGCGATGTCTGTATAAGGGCGCCACGCCGTCATGAAATACTATCGGGTCCAACATTTTCCTTATGATTAGTCATGCTATGACTTAGAGAAGGGCGCCCTGAAAAAACCTTAAATTAAAAAGGGTGCCGTGAGTCGAAAAAGTTTGGGAAGCACTGGTTTACACCATTTAGGTTTGTGGAGTGAAACGGAGGCGTTTAATTAACGGTGCGTTTACCATAAACTTCAAAACACTTCAATATTAAGAGTTCGCCGTGATTTTGAATTGCACCATCGTTTTGAACGTTGGTGTACATGAGTTAAACAATTAAAAATTAAAAACATTATGTGGGATCTAACAACTGTAATTGTTCCATTTAGTCTATTATGTATAATATATTATTTTAATTGTGAAATTTCGAAACAAATCCCCTAAAGGTTTTATGTAATAATCGATTTTAACGCAAAAAATGGAATATAATGCAATAATACATGCAATAGTGTTAAATATAATATGATATTTTATAACTGTCAGTTTTTCTATTACTTTTCTTTTAGAAACAAATAATAGATAATTATATGTTGTCAGAATGATGTACATCATTATGATACCTACTATAAAAACCAGAGTAATGGTTGTTTTATGCAGCTATTTATATATATATATATATATATATATATATATATATATATATATATATATAATATAATGATTTACATGGTAATAACAGGTGAATCCTCATCACAAGTAAAAGTATTTTTCTGTTCTTGACCTAGGGTCAATGAAAAATATTTGGTTATAATACGTTTAATACATTTTATATATTTTTAAATATATATGAAATAAGTACATAACGATATAATTGTACAATTATGAGTAATACTAACTTGTATGGCATAATATACTTATTTTTAAGTACTCAGGTAATTTATTATATGAATCAATAAAAAAAACCACAACTAAAATGGTAATCACGAGTTTTTAAGTATAATAACTTAATAATACACATTCGTGATGCTTGTTTAATTCTGTATATATTATGATATACAGTCGAGTCTCGATACCTAAAATTTCAAAGGAGATAAAAATTAATTCGACTTTAGTATTTTTTGAATAACATAACTCGATTTTTTTTAAAAAAACTTCACTCGTTTTCCTCGTTTTATTTTTTATTTAATTCATAAACTAATTTATATGTTTTAATACTTTTAAAACTTTTAGTCTACTTGTGGTTTAATTTTATCCGTGTTAGCCTTCTTTGAACCTAAAAAAATTGTAATTCTTGTTTTTACTGTTTTTTCCTACTAAACAATACTCTACTTTTAAATCAAATGTTTAATTCGGTAAACATTTAAAAAATAAACAGATTTCATCAACATTATAAATGTCATCAAGGAAATATTGATTAATAATCGGTACGTATTTTACTAACCTAACTTATTGATTGGTCAACTAAAGCATTTTTACACCATATTTTACAAAAAATTACGTTGTTCCTACTTTTCTAGTTTATTTCCAATTTTGATGAGCTTTAAATTGTTTGTTATCAAGTTTAGTAATAAAAAATCCGTCCTTTTTCTTTAAGATTGGTCCATTTATTTGACGCGGACTCCCTGATCTTTTTTTTTTATTATTATTATTATATCTTTATTATTGTGTGGCGTGTCGTGACATTCCGGCTCACGACATATTAGAATGTTTAGATCTCTCAATTGAATTAACCAATTAAGTAGACTAATTTCTATATCAAGATATTCAGAAATCTTTATTATTTTCCTATTCCCTTTGTTAGTTTCGTACTTTCATAAAATATTGTATTAATTTTTCAGTATGGTTGAAAGTTTACTCAGTGGTATATTAAATTGTTGGGCAATTTCAATTTTTGGTTTACCATTTTTGGTCACTTTATTTAAAATTTTCACTTTTTTGGTAAATGTTAATGTAACCAATTTACGTTTAAGAGACATAACTACAAATTATACACGGTACACAACAGCAACTGTCGACTATTTTATAGCATAATAGTACATAGTGATAGTTTTATTTGTACATTTATAATTGTAAACCGGTTATTCTAATGATAAAATTTAAAATATATTTGTCATAACTGACTTCGAGTTATCTACACTCAACTATATTTTTTTACATTTGACTTATCACGACAAAAATTACTTTGCGTGTATAGGAATTTCCTAGGGACGAGAAAAAAATTCGAGTTATCGAGGTTCGATTCATCAAGACTCGATTATATACCAATAAATATACATTTAAACACATAAACACTAAAAGTATTGTTTAACTTTTAATATTTTAAATAAAAAATTTAACTTTTACCATAAATACAGAATTCAGTTGATTATTGATTGGCTATTAAGTATATTATGATTTTTATGTAAATTAAGCATACAAAATACGAATACATTATAGTTGAGGCACCTATTTTAATTTTGTATCTCATACGAAGGGAAAAATCTACTGGTTATACGACGGCAGTAATAACTTATGAATATTTAATTATAATTATTTAAATTTCTGACTCATCAAAACTAATAATATTACTATCGAAATAATGTATTGGTACTAATAAGTATATGTAGAATATGGCATTAAAATATGTGCTAAATGTAAATGTATAATAAATAATAATAATAATAATAATAATAATAACAATATTTAATAATTGATATAATACATATATACCAAAAATGCGTTAGTCTAATCTAGACTTGAAACCTTGTGTCTGTGTCATTAATTTAAATAATAAAAATCCAGTGGTTCAAAAAATTATCGGTGGTCGGTGTAATTAATATCATATATTTATGTATAATATAATATGAATTAAATACTTTATACTTATATACTAATTATCTAAACAGGTACTATGTCAGATATGTATAATAGTATACATACTTTATTTTGAGTTAATTCTATGTTATATAAATATTAATACATTTTATATGTTAATATAAAAATTGATTTCATTGAATATTTTTTTTTTTTAAATACATGAATTCACTTGGGATTATATTGCAAAACATTTTTAAGCCATACAATTGGTATTAATATTGAGAATCAAAATAAAAACAAACGAGGGATCTAATTAATGAACTAATTACTGTTTTTTATTATTTTTACGGAATCACACTAGTGGACATTGCTTTATATACAATTTAGATTTTGCAAATGCACAATATAAAAATGAGTTAATCAAAAAATTAGTCGAATTTGGGAAGAGGGGGAAGAATACCCCAGATAAGTAAGCTCTATAAGCTTAGTAATACTATATATTGATTCGATTTGTTTAAAATTTTAATAATGGATAAATTCAAATAATACTAATTAGCAGTGGCGCACAGAAGTATTTTGAAAGCACATGCAACTAAAAAAAGTTCGTTTAAATTTTTGTCTGTAACTATAATTAACTCTTAAAATAACTATAAATTTAAGAAATTAAGATTTATTATAATTAATTAAAATTAAGATGCCTACACCCAGTGCCGTATAGGTATAATGTTTGTGTTATTATAATAATGTTATTTGCTTACCATACTCCATAATGTTTGGTATCCAAGTTGTCCAATTATATAACCACCCATACACCCACCCCCGACGAGAGCACATACAATTGCATGCCTTGGTAACCTATCTGGGCGCCACTGCTAATCAGTACTTTATAATTAATTGAACTCTTTATAAGCTTTATAAACGATTTACTTCTTAAAATGTTGTACTTTTACATTAAAACATATAAACGTTGAACTTAAATTTACACCAAATATGTAGGCTCTATTTCAGTTACACTGTAATACATAGTTGTAGAAGTCTTTAATTTTTTAATTAAATAGAAAATGTAATTGATTCAACGATACGAAGATTTGCATGTAATAGTACTTTGAATACATTACCCAATTATTGTTGTCTTATGAACAATAATACTGTTTTACTTATTACTACTGTTATTTTATTATTGTAAGAATACTTAAAATAAATTTAAAACGTGTTTATTATACGTTCTCTCAATTCCTGTTTTCTTAATGTTTTTTCATAACTCTTCTGTTAATTTGAAGTAATTTAGTAAATGTATTGTTTCGTATACTTTTAATGTGTTTGTGAACACATAACAAACACGAATACACCATACATGTAATTCCGTCCATTTTAAGAATGTGTTAAATATGTGTTACACATTGAAGTTTTTAAGGTTTGATTAATATAGATATGTTAATATTATAGAACACTGCTGGACTGTAGTGTTTCTCCGGAACGCAAAATAAATATGCACTCTATAATGATGGCACTTTTTTTAATTTAGGGGTTGATAAATAATAAAATGACTATTTATAAACTATACTTATGCACTGTTATAAAAATAAATCATTGGATGCACCTCGTAAATGTCGACATTAACGGTACGTAACAATAAAATGTTTTTGTTTGTACGAAACCGTATAGGGGTATGCCACACAACATAATCGCGTTACGTCATTTTCAACATGTAAGACAACAATAATATAATTTGTAGTCTGGTCGAGAACTTTTTCTTTCTCGTCCATATAATAACATATTGATTGAGTTCACTCGATTTTTTTCTACTCGATTAATTTCCAATGTACACATATGTATTAAGCGTACAACTTTAATTCAGTTATTAATGTTATTAAACACTGTTGATTAGTGTACAATAAGTGTACAATATTATATTGTATAGTGTGTGCAGTAATTATTACATATACGTATCAATGATATTATTTCGGCTTGGCGTATATTGCAGGTGATGAGGATCGCGAGAAGCTTTATTATGGTTAGGTCTTTGGCAATACTTACATCGGAAAATGTAAATGCCTCTGACTTCCTACACATATATTTGTATATATGAGTGTGTGTATGTAAAATCGTTATCATAAAATGTCGATTAACTCGTTGGCCTAGAAATGTAATTTCGTCCTTTACAGTATTCATTTATCCCATTCACTCATATCGTTTTTCATATTACATAAACTCGTGATATATTGTAGTAAATATCTAATATACTTTCAGTTATGATGTGGGCGTTTTACGGATATTATTCTATCGACTTCGGCGAAATACTCAACTGTATCTCCATCAGTATGAGATTTTACTTTTCACCATAAAAGGCACTCGATTTTTATATCCCCTTGTCATCAACGCAATTTCAGAGGAAAGTATCCTCAAATTATTTTGACTTTATAATGAAACTGAATGAATTTATAAGAGCATGTAGTTGAAAAACCGTTCGATAAATGTTCATATATTGGACGAAAAATAAATTTTAATAAATATGTTTTAGAACCATTTTTTTTTATTTTGGAATTTTCTTATAAAGTTGTACGAAAGAAAAATGTTATGCTTTTTAAATATTGCTCCAGTAGGTACAATCCTGCTACGATTTAGAAATCCTCCGCTGCATATGGTTCTGAATATTATCTTACTACGAAACTAATAGATTGAAAAATATCCTTAATATATTTACAAATTATTTAATATCATATATTATTTTTAAATCATTTTTTAAATATATATCTTGAATCTTCTTTTGCAATGAAAGCTAAATACTTATTTCCTACAAAAAAGTAAAAATTTTAATGCTCTCGAATTATTTATAAACATTTTTATTGTAATTATTATTGTAAAAATAAATACCTATAAATAGTACCTAAATTATAAATTAAACTTGAAGATACATTAAAATATTACCTAAGTATGGTTAAAAAGATTTTTAAATACTTAAATTAATTTACATAAAATAAATTTTATCTAGCTAGGTTATATGGTTTTTTTTTTTTTTACACCAATAATCTAATTTAAATTTAATTGTATAATAATAGATGGTATCCCAAAATCTTATCAAACGGGACATTGTATGCTGTTCTTCATTTTGAAAAAATAAAATCTTTTTATTAGTACGTGAAAAATTATTTTGAAAAACTGATACAACAATAATTTACGAATCAAAAATTATAATGTTCATTTTATCGAACCCATGTGTTAGTGAAGCTGTTACATCATGAAAGAAAGAACTGTGCAAAAACACTTACTGTATACTAAATAGTCTATAATCAACATATAGTATCGAGGTTTTAACGCATTAAGTATTTGTATTGAAATTATTGTGTCTCTGCCCTCTAGTTAGATGTAGACATCTAATAGTATTTATTAATATGATATAATAGACATTTTATGAATAAACGAACTAAAAGGTATACCTTTTATACCCTCAATTAGTGAACCGTTAAAAATGTATGTCTGTAAGATGAAAAGTTAACGATTTTACAATATTTAGTCAAGGATACAATTTTCTTATTAGTTTTCATACTTTTTTCGACTCTATTGGTCCATTTTATGATATATGTTGAAGAAGATTAGGAGTTAGGAATAAAACTATACACGTTTAGTTATGTTGTAATAAAAATGACTTTATTGAAAGTTTTATTTTTACACTTGTTGGAAATGGGCGGTGGGTTATATATACTTGTTGAAAAACTATTTGATGTATTGCGGTTGTTGCTCTTGTTTAGCCTGTGCTACTTGTTGGGCTACTGCTCGTTGGATGGCTGGGTGTACTCCGGGTCCGGTAGGCTGGTATCCATTCTCATCAGCTAAATAACCAACTTCAATTGGGACTCCTAAAATAATAATAACAGTTTATAACATGATAATATATAAAAGTATTCCGCGAAAAGATCGGACCTACTACAATGAAAACACGCGCCCAGAAATGATATTAGATTATAAGAAATATTGTATCTGTGAAGTGTAAAGATTATTGATGAGTCTTATTAAGTATTTTATTAATGTAACATTTTATTGTGCACTTGCGTTGCTATTATAATTTGACAGTGAGAAAAGAAATCTAATTGATTTAGCAATTTCATATACGCGTCTAATATTATTACGACAAAAAATCTAAATCGAATTGATCGAATTCTAAAGTAGCAGTGTAACATAATATAGATGTGTATATACACGCTCACACAAACACACACACACACACACACACACACACACACACACATTAATATATAAATATGTGTGTGTTGATTCTCTATTGTTGATCGTCTTACGTACACGTGTTGATACAAGTGATTCCAATATTGTCCGGCGTTCGTAATGAAACTAGTTAAAAAGTAAAAGTTATTGTATTCGAATTGTATTTCTAGAAAATTAATATATAGTACTGTACATCTTTTGTTGAGATAATTGTTTTCAACGTTTTATTTCAAGTTTTGGATTATTGTAATAAAAGTGCAGCTGTTCTGTTTACCGTGATAAAAAAAAAACACTTATATACATTGATAAAATTGTAATTTTACCTTCAGGAGTAATAGCAGAATACGATCCTTGGACGGACATTACTGGTGGCAGTCCCTGTACAGACGGGTACTTCAAACCTCCTGATTCTTGTCTTTGTGTTCCGTCAGCAGACTGGTAACTGTACACACGAATATTTTATTGTAATTTATAATCAATTTTTTGATATATAACTACTACACGGTTACATATTTATACAAAATGGACACGCCGTGAATTTTCTTACCTAAAAGTATAACTTCCCTCTGGAGTTATATCGAAATTCTGCTGTAAGATTGGCACAAACTGACCAACATATGGATTTGGCCCGAATCTCTGGGGGACATTAGGTGAACCGATGAATTGCGGAGCAACATTATATCCACCGATAAACTGTTGAGGCACGTTAGGTCCACCGACATATTGCTGAGGGTAAATTGATCTATATCCATTAAAGTAAGGCGGTATAGCTGATGGCGATGCTGCTGGAGGTAACGGTGTCGACGAGGGTATGATGGACACAGCTGGCGAAACTCCTGGTTGGAGTGTTTGTGAAGAACATCCTGCGACGAACAAAAGTCCCAAAACTCCAAAGTTCATTATCTGGAGAAAAATATCGAAAAAACACACGTGTAATAATATCGTTAGAATAGAATATAAATGCAATTTTCAAGTCGACTCACTACTTTGTTGATAGACATGTTGGACTGAGAAGTATGGTTATTTACTTTTATTTTGCTACAGCTTAGGATATCTGTTTGCTAAAAATGTTAGATGAATACTGAATTATAGATGGCTAAACCCGTAGTTTATAAACATTTTGTCTCGTAACAATCACTCGCTTTACCTACTCCCTAAATATTCTGCCTATACACACCTAACCCTCACTTAAAACCATTTATTATTGAGCAAGAACTACAGAACACAAGATGTAATAACTTTATTCATTTTTTTTTTATTATGGGAAGATGTGAAAGGGTTACTTCACAAAACAAATTATACTTAAATCGATAAAACACGTTCATTATACTGTCATACTACTAATATATACTACTATTATTACTATATATTGTTATACTGTATTACTCTATCTCATATCTTAACCATTTTGACTCGGAGGCATAAAATAAAAGGTTACATATGAGTCTACGGTGCTACACATCATTTATACTTCTGGTTAAATGTATTATAGACATCATCGGTATTCAATAAAATTAGATTAATTATAATTAGAAATAAATTTAAAAAATTGAGTACACAAAGACTATTTTAACATGTATGGTAAATAAATAATAATAATAATATATATGTATAGATTTGAAGTATCATGAATAGTATTAATTAAATACTACAGATAAATATGGTAATTACATACCTAAAAGGTACTTTTATACTTCATTTATACTTTTATTTCATACTTATTTTATGTTTGCAATACATTTTTCATATTATTTTCTAAATTAAATAATAATTTCTGTTTTGAAATTTACATTACTATCCATTGCTCAGAAAATATTTATTGTATACATAAGAAAATATAACTTATGATAATATCTTATCCACATGTTCCTAATTTTACTTCATAGCTTATAATTTTGAAAAAATGTACGCAATATTCGTATGACATACACGTATATAATATTAACATTTATTTATCACATATTTAAATGTTTATAATATTATTTTCGGTTTACTTATAACATTCATTATTATGATTGTAGAATTAAAACACAACTATTTTATTAGAGCCGGGTATACCCGGGTACCCTCCGAAATGTTATAAATGTAAATACAATTTAAGTCTAAGAGTAAAGGACCCATATTTTAACTAATATTATTCAAATTAAATGTAATTTATTCTTAAATATTTGGTTAAAATAAATTGTGTTTCGTTATAGAAAATTAAATTTTTTAAGTATTCGTGCATACATTTTTGATAATAAACAGCTACAATCGACTAAAAAAGTACAAATCATAAATAATTGAAACTATTTAAAAAAAATATGCAAGATTCAAACAGAACATATTCATTAGGACTAGTTTACCACAATATTAAATAAGCAATTATAGCTATGTTTATTTAGTTATTTATACATTATATTTTATTAAATATATCTATACGTTTTGTTAAGATAGAACCCAAAAATATTATAGGCACCCCTTGATATACAAGTCTGTGCACGTCTATACATATATATTATAATTTGATAAAATATACTTGGATAATATTTTAAAAGAAAGTGCTCAAATACTTATAATTAATATATGATTTTGGACGTATTTTGAACAAAATACACATGAAAACCTGTTTACTGCTAAACTGATTTGAATGATCGAAGTGTATTATGAAAATGTAACATGAAAATATAACAAAATGTTATTAAATGTTCAAGTAAATTGCAAGTTAGTTTTCAGGGAAGGCTACTGTTATCAACTGTCAATCAACTGAAATCCAATGTCGTTACGTTTTACTGCAACGTAGTGAACATAAAATATATCAAAATAATTAGTGTGGGTCTGAATAATAAAAAAAAATAATATAGGCTATCATTTTATTAACAATTTATACACATATGTACGATAAGTACATTTAGTATCGCGTGCCCATCAGCCATTTCGAGTAATAAAAACCACTATTCAGTTATACTTTAAGAAATTAAAATATATATTATAAAATAACTAATATTTACTTTACAATAATTTATTCTGTATAATAAAAATTGTATTAAATCATACTTGTTATAAAGTAGTGGTTCTCAAACTGTGGTATGCGAAATACTACATGGTGGTACGCGGACAGAAGAATGGTGGTAGAACAGAAATTAAAAATTTGGTATTTAATTCATATATTAATTTAAAAACTCTAATAATTTTTTGTAAATAAATAAATAATAATTTAATTGTATTATTTTATTATTTTATTTTTTAAAATAAATATATTTAACTGTACAAAATTTGTATGGTTCTATTTTTAATTATTAGTGGTACTTGATTGATTGATAATATACTCAAGTGGTACATGAAAAAAAAGTTTGAGAACCATAGTTTTAAAGGCAGTGTGTCCAATTATTTTATTTCACTTGGTAATCCATTTACTTTATTTTATATTTATTTTTTTATCATAATATAAATAATTTTCTATTACTATCAATTGCTAAAAATTTGTGTCTTAATTACATATATTTAAACTATGTATGTTATATATTTCAACAAATATAATTTCAAAATAACTATTGAACGTAACCGACAACGAAAAATATGTAAATTTTCGCTAGTAATATAAGAATATATTATTTATTTATTATTTATACATTTATTTGTTTATAAGGAGAAACATTTTTTAAACTTTTTGAAGATGACGTATATACAAACATCGCAGATACTAAAAAGGTACCTATCTATGTTTATAGAATCATTACCGAAAATTACAAAAAAAATAATTCATATTTAATGGTTTGCATTAGTGCGAAGGTGATGTCATTTATATATGTATATTTTATAAAAAAAAAATATAGGTATTCTGCCGTATGCGTGCTTAAAAATGGAATTTATAACAACTAGCCGCGTGATTATATACCTACATCGATCATCTAGCATCTTATAAAACGTTAAGAACACATTATATAACAGCAATGAGATGACATGGTATTTTTCGTTTTATCTGTTGCTTACTTGAAACGCATTAAGGTTAACTGCAAAAAGTTTAGTGAGAATACCTAACTATAATAATAATTATATGTTACACCAGTACAATAATGCGAAACAGTGATTTTTTAACTTTTTTACCCGTATTTAGGTGTACAGGATTAATATTTAACCACAAAAGATACTCTTTTATTAATACGTATTGTCTGAAAATTTTAAACAACGTAATCATAAATGATTATCAGTGTAAAGTAAATAATACACAAGTTAAAGTGAATCATAATACCTATAAAATATTTTTTAACAGAAAACTGAGTTTATCCTAAAAACATCGAGATTTTATTGAAATATAAGTTCCACAAATCTCTGCGTGTTCTCGAAAACAATGGATGCAAATCATAAACTAATCTAATAATTTATAAATGTTTTACGAGTAAATAGTATATCAGTGTTAAATATCCAATTTTTTTACTGGTATATTTGTAAACGTTAACTGTCCCAAATGATATTTTTGATAAATTATATTTAAAAAACATAGATAATTATTGTAATGAGTTAAAAATAAGTAATTTTAACATAAATATGGTAAAATGGTACCTATTTATATAATATATACGTATTACTACGTATTCTCGAGTTCTGTTCAATAGTAAATGCAGTATTTCTACATTTTATTTTTTGACAGTTTGTGATTATCCTATAATCAAAGAAATTAACTTTATAATGTATTTACAGTGTCATATGAAAAATTGTACCTGGGCGGGATGACCCGTAGGTTACAATGAGATTGTGATTTTAAAAAGTAACATAAAAGTGACAATACCGATAGCTGTAGTTTTCGTTTATGGGAACATTGATTATAATTATATAATCTGGTTTATTTCAACACTAAAGTTGTTGTATTTTCTTATATTACCAACCCGTAATACCGGCAATGCTATTCAAAATATATTAATTACTATTCAGAAAATTAAAATAATTTAGTAGAAAACGCAAATGACGTGTACATCTTATAAAATCATAAAAAAATATAATGTGCAGAAGTTTAAATAGCCGTCAATGAAGATTCACAAAATAATTAATACTTTTCTTATAACCGAATGCATTACGGTAAATTAATTATTCGATTGGTAATTATTGATGAACAGCAATTATACACAAAGTAGAGAAGTTCGTTAATATAAATCGTCAGTTTTTTTAGATGATGAATACATACATAACAGCCTAAAGGTAGAAGTATATGTTGTTTTAAACTCGTTTTTAACTATTATGATTTATGAATACCTATATAATATATCGTTTTGTCAGATAAGTATTATACAATATTTATTATAATATACTTTTTTCTTAGTTTTGAACTAATGACCCTGAGAGAACAATTTTTCATATGATATTACTCACATTTATAGAATCTATACCGGCTGGTAATAAAGATAACTGTAAAGTTTACTTTGTTCGAATAGACGCTGCAAAATGACGATTTATCAAAAAAATAATTATATAGCCAAAAAAATTAGTAGGGGAAATTTTATATTAGTTTAGTTTAGATTTTTTTGATTTATATATTTGAGAATTCATTAAAAGTATATTTATTAAAATAAATAAATTTAATTTCCTACCCTAATTTCGAACAAAAATAAAACAAGCATTTGAATTTAAATCAAGTTTCAGTTTTTTGATAATTCATAACCGGTTCCGAAACCCGACACTTCTACAACTGTCAAACTCGTAGGAACTACGAACATCATACAATCATCAGTTAGCACTTCAAAGCGCACAAAAAATATTGTGTAACAGATAATTGCAAAAATATATTGCATTATTGACTATTCATATTATAGTTGTTGTTTCAGTTCAAATTGTATCGAAAAATTGTTTTTATCTCAGTTCACACCGTACACATAAAAATACTGAACACATAAAAACGTAGATATTTAATTGGTTTCTGTTTTTTTTTTTAATTACTTATTTAAAAGTATTAGGATTACATTTGAACTTAAACATAGAATACTAAATCAGTTATAGTAGTTTTAATGACAAACTCATGTTGTACTCAGTCAAATTATTCAAGTTAGTGATTCTAATTAATATTGACCAATATTTATCAATAACAGTAGTAATAATGTTATTAACCAATTTAAGTTACAAGCACGCTCATACATAAGAATTTTTCAAGTGGGGCTTACTCAAAAAAATTAAACGAGTATTTGTTGAAATTTAATTTAAATTTTCGCTAGTTTTATTTTGTACAGAATATAACTGAAAGTAATATTTTATGTTATTTCAACTGACCTATGATTATGCTTAATGTTATTATATATATTTTTCTTTACTTAAATTTGATTAATTCACATCCATTCGTAAGCTAGAATTTCGTCCTTACAAATTTTTATAAACTTCCCTCACTTTATACCTTTAATATGCCTGACATTTAACATTAACATTTAACATAAATGCCATGGCTATACGTTAAAATAGGACAGTAATATTCAGTGGTCTAGACTCTAGATTAATCATATATGTAAATTTAAAGGAATGATAAATCCACGCATTTAATAAATAATCCTTGGTGAATATTGATGTAAAATATACATTTAGTATATTGTTAGTAACTTGGTCTTGAATTATTATATACGAAAGCTTAATCACTGCAACAAAAAACATTAAATATTACAATTATTGTAAGACCAATAAAAATATGTTTCTTCGATTTATTTAAAATTGTAAAACCTAAAATCTATATTTTAATCAATAGGGATATTTAAAATTCTAAATCACCATCAGATCTTGATTACAAATAAACCTCATAAATATAAAGATTCTAATAATAATAAAAAATATCTAAACACAAATAATAAACCTAATCTTATACTGTTGTTGTTAAATCATCATCTTGAGGTAATTGGTTCTGTTTAATTTTTTAGTGATTCTGACGTACCTACATTATTTTTTTGGATTATTTTTTATTATTTTCAAGCTTACATTTATTATAGAAAATAATTATTTTCAATAAAATAAAATAAATTAATAGACAAACAGTATTCACAAAGAAACTGAAATTTAGTAGGTAATTGAACATGAATTATAGTATAAATATTACCAACAGTCGATTCCGAACAACCAGAAATTATCGGAAACTCGAATAATAATATTAATTTGAAAACTTTGTGACTTAAATTTTCAAACTTATACAGTTTTTATTTTAAAATTCTTGACTCAAATGCAATTATTTATTTCTTATTGATATTTATAGGATTTAAGATAGTTTATTATTTATTATTTATACATACTTATGTTTATAAATATGTTTTCGTGAAATATACCTACCAATATAATACAAACTATTTTTCTATAAAAATTATAAATACCGAGGGCTTGAAAACTCGTTTTTCAATTTGAACGGTTAAATATCATATATAATATGCGTGGTGAGTAAATGTTGTTATATACCGATTTTTAAGTGTTTTTTTTTTTTTTTTACACTTACGTTTCCAGAGTCAAACATGACAAGAATATCTAAAGTAATCATCCAATAATAGCTATTACACAAACACATAGCGAAGAAGTGGGTTAGTGTATGAATGCTCGTCTTTTCACTTGCTGTCTTTAAACCAATCTGCAGACTTAATTGAAATTTTTCATGCATCGGTTTACATAGAATGACGACTTCGCGTTTTCTATATTAAAGATATTCTATACTAAAGATATTATTAATACTCGTATATTATATACTTATAGCATTATTCTACAAGTTAGTCAATTATATATTATACTTATATAATACATAGTGCATGCAGGTCTGTCAAATATAGAAAATACACACTTTGAAAAGACATATTTTTGTTTATTAGCTTTAATGTAAAGCTTAGAGGCTACACGATAATACGTGGAAAACTACATGATAGTACAGAAAATAAATTTAATTTGTGTTTTAATTTGTTTATGTTTGAGAAATTATAAGAATTATAATATTATTTTATACTGAGTTTTATGTTTTAAGGAAATTTTTTTTTTTTTAGATATTTTGAACAGTTCTATACTTGTACGATGAAAAAGTAGCTTGAGAACTTTATATACTATGTGGATTATCCAACATTACAGTTTCAGCCGTGTATTATGACGTGATGTCTAGATTAACTGTCGATTTTTGGTCAATGTAAATTTTTCATTAGGTATGTATAATATTTATACTTAAACGTATACCGGTTTTTAATCTTGTCCTGCACGTCCAAAAATTGCCTTTTACCTATGACCGTACACTCTTTTTGGACCGTGCCATTCATCCGAACATAGAACAGAAATACGAACAGGTTATCTCCAAATTCGATTTACGTACATGTGAAACAACTAACAATAGGAAATATTTCATAATCGTCTCTTTCTTTCATTTAATTTCTAATCCCATTGCTGCGGCCACACACATAACTTGCCATCATATCCAGGTAATGAGGTAAATATCAATACATTAGAAGTATAAGTAAGGTTCATACATGCGTTTGACTTGGGTCATTTACCCTCGGGAATTTAGTAAAATTTAACATTATACATACAGCGATACCATAATGAAATATTGCCTGAATACCTCAATACCCATCAAATATGTATTATGGTAAATGGATTAAACATTTTAATTTTAAAATGATTTTAATACTTTTTCCTATGTATTGTAAAATATGTAAATGTCTACATCCAAAAGTTTTAAATAATTATTTATATATAATAGTTTAAACTTTATTGTATAAAAATTAAGTATAACACTAATTACTATTTACATTTAATGTTGTTAATTTTCTTACGTAATTTACTAACTGTAACATATTACATTGTACATACTATATTTTCTACATATGAGTTAATTATTTTTTCGATATATTTTGGTTAATTTTCTATGTACATTTTCTGGGCCCTTGCATTGAAACTATGGCTTTAATACAGAATAGGAGAGAATTATAGATCTTTTTGTTGAAATAAAAATATTCTCTGTGACACAAATAAGAAAAACTTCCTAAGGCGACTGAAAATTCCGGATCATTTTTTAAAAGATAATGGTTATAGACAAGAACAGCCTGAACACTTTTTTAACATAGGTACCAAAATAACTAGTTAGTTGAAAAATACGGCAAATAAATTATATCAAATCTGAACCGAATCTTAGTAATACATACGTATAACATTTTATACAAAGTAATACAAGTATATAAATAAACTTCAAAGACTTCACCGAAATTCTGATACAATTTAAAATTGGATTCTACATTTTAATCGTGTTCACATTTTTTTAGTTAAAATGTTTTGAAATTCTATTTTATATGATTTTTCGTTGAATATTGAAATTCCAATACAACATTTAATTTTATTATAATTTTTATTAAATCCTTTATTGTCATGTACTACAGCTAGACATCTACTAATTTTTGTGGAATTTTCAAACATTAAATTCCGAGCGAAATAAGGAATGTATTGATTTTACAATGACGTTTATTTTTTCGTTAACAGTTTTCACACAATATCTCCACCAAAATTCTCGTACAGTATGTCATAAATTTTAAATTATATCCAAATGATACTTTAAATAACAAAATGAATATTACAAAAAATTGAAGACAGTTATAGGTCAAGAGGCGTATTTTTAAACACTTTTACAGGTATAAGGATAAGCACTGTACAGACTTGCATATGTTTCGGGTAGTACAAAAAAAAACCTTGTAATTTTCAATTTAATTTTAAAAATTAATTATTAATCAAAAAACCGGTCTTAATGATATTGTATTCCCTCATCAATATATAATGTAAATTTAAGTTTTCAAACATTATTTTTAAATAATTAACTTTTATCAAAAATTTCAAGCAACAATTTCTCAAATTTAAAATTGAATTTAAAGTGTAGGTATAATTTACAATTGTTTCTTGGTATTTTTTTCGATTAAGACAATATTAAAAAAAATTGGGAGTATATTTTATTAAGTAAGTGATAATAGTTAATACAATTATAAATTTTTTTTGTCCTATTATTTAGTATAAGCTTAACATAGAATGTTGGAAATCGTAAACCATTGTCGCAAGCAATTTTTCTTTTTTATGAAATTTAATTAACCGCTTATGTATGTATAGTATTATGGGCACAGAACCAATATTCTTTCAACACAACGCAGTTACACAATAATGTGAATAATATGCGTTTCAATGCTTCATATGAAATCAGCAAGGTAACATTTTTAGACAAATTTATTACGATTTAAAATGACTATATGAATATTAATCTAATATTTATTTTTATTTTCACCTACAGTAAGTTGAATTATAATAGTACAATAGTTAAGTATACGTAATCATTTATATCCTAATAATTCTACATTAATCGCTTAAAATCTATATATTACATTTATGTCATGGAATATACTTATACTTCTATAGAAGTATTCTATTCGTCAAATGTTGTTTTCGATTTTTTAAATTATGTCCCTAAATTTCCTACATACAGCACCGCTTCAAGTGCGCACTGAGTACATATAATACGTCAAATTGAAAACGATTCAATTATAATTTCTACTGTATGATTATAATCATGATATACAATACAGCGTGATCACGATAAGTGGAAACACTCAATAACTTTGTGCAGGTTCCATATATTTCAAATCTGCTTTTTTGGCTTACTAATAAACATTATTATACACATTTTCAGATAATTAAACTATTTTTGTCACAACTAATTTCACATATGCGCACAAAAACTTTTTTTTTAAATGACATGACCTATTTTTGACCACAAATTATTTTTTTTCTGTGTTTTTTAATGAATTTTAGTGGTTGAAATTTCTTTTCTAAGTTAAAAATTGGCCGAGTTAAAGCAACTTGGTTTTATGTTATTCGCACGAGTATAACAAATTATAAAATACATAATTAATAATAATTAGCCATAGGTTAACCCTAACCCCCCTAGGTGTCAACAAGGATACAACTAGCAAATAGAGGATATTATGGACTTGAAAAAGTTTTTAAGTCGAAGGTCTTATCCAAAAACCTAAAAATCAAAATGTACATGACTCTACTAAGACCAGTTGTTCTATACGGCTTGGAAACATGGGCGTTGAGAAAAATAGAAGAATTAAGATTAATGATATTCGAAAGAAAAGTTCCACGGAAAATTTTCGGCTCCATATTCGATAAACAATCTAATGAATAGAAAAAACTTCATAATGTGGAACTCCAAAGACTTTTTCAGAGGCCGAGTATAGTTAGGGAGATTGCCAAACGAAAACTATGTTGGGCAGGACATGCTTGGTGCAAACAGAGTACTTTAGTAAAACGGGCGATCGAAGAAAACCCTAGGTAGACCTAGACTAAGATGGGAAGATGGTGTGAAAAGAGAAGTGGAAAGGATAGAGCCTGGTGTCAAATGAAGAGAAGTAGCGAAGGACAGGGATAGGTGACAAAGTTTATCGTTTTCAGGATGGTCTTAAGGGCCGAAACTAAAGAAGAAGAAGAAGAAGAATTAATAATAATAAGTACGTAATAATAATAATAAAAATAAAAATAACTACCTACCTAATTCAATTTATGAAATACCTATTTACCTATTTTGTTTATCTTTATAAAATTTATTTTAGTTGTTACATATATTTTGTTGAAAGTATACTATACCAACAAGTGTCTGAATTTAGAATTTTTTATAATTTAAACGGTATTTGTGGGAAAGAGTTGTAAATATTAAAAAAAATTTACATGCATAGATTTTTATTTTTTGCCATAATCCAGATTAAAATTATTTAATTAAATTAATACCATTTACTTACTAATCGTTTGTATATTGTCTGAGCAACAATGAGACAGACAATCTATATCTAATATTACTTGCCTTATTCTAATCATGTTTGTTAAATATTGTTATTCTTACAAATTATATTTTTTATAATTCCTGCCCATTGTATATATTAATATTAGTATTAATATATAAAATATAAAATATAAATATTTAAATATATAAATATTTAATATAAAATAATAAATTATTGTTTATTTTTCTTTAATTATTTTAATTAATTATTGAAATATTGTATTTATTCTTTTCATTAGAGTAAACAGCCGAAATCTATGAACCGATCCAGAGTGAAACAAACTTATGAGTGACAATCTACTTACTCCCAGGAATAATAGTACGTCGTTTTTACTTTGAATAACAACTGTAATTAAAATAAAATTGATTAAATTTATGTTTTTAAGCTTCGAATTAATTTTTTTATATTTAATCCATTAACTTATTAAACTTAAAATATGATAATTAAATATTCTCTGTTATGTAAATAATATTTTCCATTACTTTAATCAATTTTTCTCCTTTCTATATTTATTTAAATTATTAATACTGATACTCTAAATTTATAATTTAAATTGGTATAAGTTTTTTTTTTTATTATTAAATATATATTTGTGTTTCATCTGCACGGGTAATCTCTAGACCCCTTTTCATTTTTTCTTTTGTTATTAAAGTATTCATTTTTATTAACAATTTAAAGTATAATGTTTTTAATAACATTTATTATTATTTATTTATTTTTTTTTTTTGTACATAAATAATGTTTAAAATTATGACATAATTTATATATTCCCCGGCCTCCAGGCATAAGGAAACTTTCTTAGGTATACTTCTTTTATTGCGACTGAAAAATAATTGAAAATATGATTTTCACGTTATAAAATAGAGCATATTTTCAATATTTAATCCATATTTTAAATAAAAATACATTGTTGTATTTGTAGATAGTTATATTCTAACATGCACCATAGAATAATAATTTTAGTAAAAATCGTTTTGAAACTTAAATGAGGGTGTATAAAAACTTTTTCAACTTTAACAGACCTTAGAATTTCATGGGTTAATGTTTTTCATAGGTAATTAAAATTAATTATTGTAAATAAAAAACATTCACATTTAAATATTATTTTTTGGTGGCAAACTGTAGCAGGAGCAACGATGAGACAGATAATCTATGTCCAATTTTATTCGTATTATTCTATTTATGTTTATTAAATAATTTAATTTTTACAAATTACATTTCTTCTAATTTTTATTAAAAATATATAGTCTGAAATTTCTAACGATCATAGACGCAAATAGAGGGGGTCTTAGGGGGTATTAGCACCCCCTATTTTACAATTAGTACCCCCAAATAATGTTCATGTTTATGAATCAAAAACTTATTTTTGTCATCAGACATTTGACTATTAGAGTATAAAACTGTAATGAAATACGAATGAAAACAATGTTACTCAACAAACGTCAATTCACATTTTGTCGAGTTCACTGAAACCCTAATTTAAATTCATTTTAAAACCGGAACCCCATCGGAACCTTTATTTGTATTTATTTAAAAATCGGCTCATTAAATCCTTATAGTTTTAATATAAATTAAATACCCAATAAATACAGAACTTAAGCATCCTCAGTTTTTTTATTGAAATTGCGCCTATGCTAACGATACATGAGTAATATAACCGGGAATTGATTTTCTTTATCTATTTTAGCATAGGAACCCCTTTAGAAGTAAAATGTGTGATCGATAAGTCGATTTAGATTAAAGTGTCAACTATCTTTGCGCATGACTTCATTGTTTTTATTCCAATAGTACATGTTGAGATCATGGGGTATACTTTCCATGTCTGGATCCCGATCAACAGGCTCAAATAAGCGGCTCATCGGGTTCCGAGAATACAGTGGGGCTGATTATTATATTTACAATCATGCAAGGGATGGTCGTTGACAATAATCGGAAGAACTCAAAAGAGTTTTCGTCAATATGCCAACGCGGACCCGGAACCTCGTCGATCAAATCATTGGAGGTGGATGGGAATTTGGTGGCCCTAACAAGGGCCGTTTTAATTTATATATACGTTGGATATTTAACTGTGACAGATATTCTTCGTCACCGTAACCGTGTTGCCGCAGTCGTCGTAGCAAAGATCGTTGTCCGTGGTCGATTTCGTCGCAGTAGTGATGATGGTCGCGGTCGCAGCAATCGTCGTTGTCGTCGTCGTCAATGTGGTAGCAGTCTATACTACCCTTCGATTGTAATCTCAATGAGACTCTAGCGTAAAACTCCGGGCGCAGTCAATGAGTGCTGAGATTGGATCCATGACCATTTTGGTTTATTATTATGCCGTGAGGATGACACGGTTGATGGTTAACGACAGATAAACAATTCTGTACCGTTACAAATGTATTCGTTTATAATAAAAATTCAAAGAGTATATAGGCTACATGTATATGTCTTGTTTCTACTTGAATAAAATTGACATAAGAATGTCGACGACGATTATTAGTTATTAGATACAAGGAGACGAGAATTAAATTGTAGGTAACTTTTTTAACTCGCGTAAAAAATAAACATGTTTCAATGACCGCATGATAATTATTTATTGAATATAATTTTTTTTTTGAATTTAATTTAAATGACAGAATCGTCATTTACAACACTTTTAGTGTTGATAATAAAGGACGGTGTGTACTGAAATACGAAACGTACTCATGTGTTTCAAGCTGCTCGATGTGTCGATAAAATACGGCGTTAATACAAGTCGAATTGCGCGAGGCCGTTTTTTTGTTACGAGAACGTTACTTAATTGTAATCCTAGTTCGGTACGCATAATTTTTCGATAAATTCCGTCTCCGCCAACAAGCATGGGTAAATCGTGATTATTATACTTTTCGAGCATCTCGAACATTAATTTTAATTTAGGACTGTACGCCGTACAGTGTACGTCATTAGATTTAAGACGGAAAATTCTTTCTAATGCTGTATTCGAAGAGATGTAAACTGACACAAGTACAGTTCTTTTACAATTTATCGTCTTCTTGATTTAACAAATGTCGCCGATATCGTTATGAGATGTCGCAATTCGCTTCACGATCATATACTGTCACGGTTTGACAAAGTGGCATTATATGGAAACTGAAAAACGTACAACTGTAAATGTCCAGGTGCTATAGAGTACAATTTTAGTAAAGCGTCAATATTCGAGCGTGCCTGGAGCGTTCTTATATATGGTATTTGTTTATTATTACTATTGGATTACAGGTGAAATCGATGGACGGCTGCAAAGTCGTCGCGGGACGAATACCTATGGGAAGGTCTGAACGCAATCGGAGAGCAAAACGCGACGGACAACGATTTGGATATCAAAAGGCCGCCGGCGGACTCAGACACCCTTCAAATTTACATAGACGGAATGGAAGTGATCGAAATCGCGGATCCGGTTTGCTCACGGAAGGACGGTGGTGACTGGCCGCAGCAATTGTGAGTTGTCGCGTATGGTGTTTTAGGTCGGTCAAGTCTGATCTGATCCCTGACTAATTCAGCGGGAAAAGCAATTGAAAGCTAAACGAACAATGTTCCCCAATCGTTTTAATACAATTCAGTCGTTGGTCGTGTCTTGTGAACCCCGAAAACTAAAATTCCGACCTGGTCTTTTTCCACATCGTCCTTGTGGGACGTTGCGATACTACCGATACCAATAAAGTATCAATACTTTTTTTTTCGATACTTATTGTATCAATACCATGGTTTCGATACTTTACTCAAATCGATAAAAAAAAACTGGTATCGAACAATAATTATTTTCTAGTAAAATGGTTCGCGCGCGTGGTGGAGGATTTGTTTACATAAATCAATCATCCCATCATAGGTGGAGGTGGGGGGATCACGGGGGCTTAGTTGCCCCCCCAAAATAAATAATTTGAAGTTAAAGTCCCCCTAAAAATATTAAACAAACAATACCTTACTTTTGTACAGTTTGCAGAATTTTTATCATTATTGTATATTTTTATATCCACAATTATATAAGTGTACCAAGGCCGTAACTGGAAAAAAATTTCGGGGGGGGGGGGGGGCCAAACATTATTATTTAATACAATTTATAGTTAATAACCTATATTCATCGCTAAAATGTTTCTACTTTTGAAAATTTCGGGGGGTTCCGGACCCCAGGACCCCCCCCCAGTTACGTTCTTGAAGTGTACATTACTTACATACTATTATTACTATTTACCAATTTATTATTTACGGTAACATACCGAACAATTAAGTCATAATTCACAACATAAAATATTATATTGTGTTTATATAGCTAATATTGTTCATTTAATTCATTCGTTTTTAATTAGCCAATATCGCCACCAGATAAGCTTACCCTCTCCAATGAACATTAACAGAACTAATAATATAGCTAACAATTTGAAACCAACCGTCGTTCGATTTTCAATTTGAAATATTTCACGATCACTTGTACACCGAATATTGGCCATTTGGTAATCTTTAAGTGTAAATGACCAAACTTGGTTTACCGACCGTTCAAGGGACCCTGTTGTGCTGCATTTTACCAAAGCAAATAGTTTAACAACAAAAATGTAATACCCGCGGAGACATTACCATCGGGATCACTGGGGCGACCATTTTTATTATTATTATTTTTCTTACTTCGTATCAGTAATTATTAGCCTTATGTCGTTGTGCGGACCATTCCTTAAATCCAACAGCATGCAGGTGCATCCGAAACATTGTGGCCGGTTTGTGTACACGACCACCAGCTGCTCTGCTCCGTCCGTAGATAATAAAAACACATTGTGCGCCCGCTCCCATTGTCTTATCGCGACACATTGACGCCCATTGTCACCGGACGAGTCTTTGGGGGTCAGCAGCTGCCATCTTCGCGTGATAAATGATAATAAACCTTTTTTTTTTTTTTTCAAACATTATACCCCGACCCGGCGATAAAATGACGATTTTCATCCGGTGCTATCAGCACAATGTTCATTTCGTCAAAACGTTCGGACGTTCGAACATGTGACATCTTAAAACTTCCAGGATCCGGACTAGTAATTAAGTGAACCGTCAACCGTCGTCTCAATTCACGAGTACCTATCTCACGGTTATGATGTACGTTTATTCCATCGTTGCGTACAACACGTGTTCGTGACAACGACAATTCGATTTTCCAATATTTAATTATGAAACGGATCCAATATTGTATTCAATGTTAGAAATCCGATTGGATGATTGCAGATTGATATTAATTAACATATAGGATCGAATGTGAATTTCGTTGTCGAGGTAATTGGATCGTTTTATCGTTATTTCGTTGCTGAATTGTCATTATCTTCAGCGATTAACCAATAATTATTACCATTGTTTATATGCATTTTGACCGGTCGAACGAACTAATAGTTGTGCTAATTTTCAGTTATGGGTATTCAGATAAAGGAAAAGATGAATAATAAGAACTATTGGAAGAAGAAAGATATTATTGTGATATTTATTAACTTTACGGTGCTATTCTTAGTTGTATATATTTATTATGTTGTTGATGAATTGAGAACTCTATTTTCAAAAGAAAAGCTGTGTGTGTTAAAACCATCTTCAATGAGAACTTTAACTGATGATAATATAGATGAACTTTATTTTGATAAATTCAAATCAGCCAATCAATATGTAAAGAGCCGACACACTCGGTCCAGTGATTCTGTCAAATGTGATTTATAATTTTATTAAATTCTTATAAAAATATTGTTGTATATATTTAATAATTCAAGTAAAATTTTCTGTTTTCTAGTTCAACATTCGTCTTTATTCTTTTTGGCTCAACCAAACACAGATTTTGAACAAAATGGTAGTTTGTACAATTACTTTTAATATAACATAACAATTTATAATTTACTATATTTACACCTCTGCCACAATTTGAAATTGAGATTTAAATAATTACTGTAATTTTCATCTCAATATAATGCTGTCAGTATATAGGATAAGTCATAAAAGATAATTTGATGCTTTTTATACTTTTATTGCTTTAATGAGTCGAATAACAACCTTAGTGTAAACATAATACTTCATATATTTTAGAAATTAATTGTATATTTTGTAATAGGTATTTTGGGACCTTGGATTTTGTCTAACAAAAGTGTATCAGTTGACAATCATCCCATTAAGCTGACTTCAAGAAGAACTTTACTTGAAATTGTTGATGAAGGGTTTTATTTACTTTACATACAGGTAATATATTTTCTATCTGATAAACTTAATGATTAAAAGGCCCACTGTCTCAGTTGATGGTTTGGATCAACATTTTTAGATTGTTTGGCAAAATATTTCATTTTCAGAGCAATACTGTTATACCTATATAATTTTTCAATCTAGTTTAACCAGAACCAATGGTTATATTTGAAATATTTTCAATTTGCAAAAATATTAATAGTATTTTCTTTTTTTAAATTAAACTTAAGATTATTAGTGATTTAAAATTTGTATGTGTGTTCCTATATCATCAGATATGTATGATCTTGTTTTTAATTAGAAATTTATAAAATCTCAATGATCGTTTATTTGAAAGAAAATTTAATTAATATTGTAAATTGTCTATTAATAAAAAATAATATTATTTTATAACAATATATTTTTAGTCTTAAAGTTTTATAATTTAGTAACAGTTAAATATTGTAATTTTTTTATGATATAAATGAGTGAAAAAAAGACAAAAACAATACTTTTGAATTTAATAAATTTTAATTATTAGGTATATTATTTGTCATCTTCTAAGAGAAACAGTTTTGCTATAACAAAAATAACATCTGATGTAAATGAAACACTATCAGTATGTAGTGCAATGGGTGTTTATGGAACAGAAATTTCTTGTTTTACATCTTTAATGGAACATTTCAAGACTGGAGATTCAATTTTAATTAGGCTCAGGGAAATGTCTTTAAACATAAACCTTAGCCGTAGAGTTTCTCATACATATCTAGGCTTAGTTAAACTATTGTAATTTTTTTTTTTTTTAATCTGTGATCAATAGTGTATGTTATAATTTAATTTTTATTGTTTACTAAAATTTTAAACTACCAGTATTATTTTTAAGTTAAAAATAATTTTTGTTATATTTCAAGGTTGTTTTTTTATTTTTTATTTTCTTGGAGATATCCTATAGTATACATTTGTTCTTATATAAACATTATACTTATTTTATAAATAGTATTAGAAAACATTTAAAGAAGATAGAGCCAACTTAAGTTTATTATAATTAGAATAATATTAATGACAATAATAAATTAACTAATTTTTTTTTTTTTTTTAATATATAATATATATATTTATGATAATGCTATATTTATTTTTAACAGATGTATTGAACTACTTATTTATAATTTTAACTTGCACATAGTCGCAAGAAAAAAGTTGGTAACTCTGAGACAGATTAGCACCGTCTAAGTTACTATAACCGTAAGCTTAGGTAAATATATATTTATTAATATATACTTCATATATATATATATATATATATATATATATGTATATAATGTTATACGCAAAATTTCCTTTTATAGTTAATTTTAATTAATGTAATAGTTAGATTAGATTCATCTATTAATCTTCATTCTGTAAAAAGTTAACCATGCATTTATGACATTCCATATGTAATGGATGATCCTGCATAAGTTGTAACATACGTCGTGAAAAATATCTACACAATGGAGCTTTGCTGCACAATTCATGAGAACCTTGCACAAATTTTTCTTCACATTCCGAACGTTCAGATTCCTAAAAAATTATATAATTTATATTTTAAAGGCTATATAAAATGTCCCAAGTTCAATTTTACTTACACAAGTACGGCAAACACGATAAAGCGTACAGACAGGTAACATCAAATCCCCTGCTGAGCCACCCAGATCCAAACAGTCTTGAGTTATTTGCATAAGTTGAGTACATTCCTTGTGATCAGCTAATAATAAATAATACATATGTTACACATGTTTTATTTTTTCTTATTTAAATTGACTCAATATATTACTTTCTTTATGTAGGTCTGCTGTATCTAAAGAATTTATTGATTGACTGTTATTTTCTGTAGGTATAACAAAATCAGATTTTTCATATTGCTTTTCTATTAAAAATAAATAAAATAAAATTAATATTATAAAATAGTAATTGTATGCTGGTAATTTTTTTTTAATGGATACCTTGTATCTCATTATTTTCTTGTCTGAGCTTTTCAATGTTGTAGGCTTGGTTCAAATTTTCTATTACTTGATTTTTTACATTATTTATTTCTTCTGGGTCATTAGTTCCTTGATTAGCTCCTGTATATTTTAATGCATCATTTATCAATGTATCTTCCAACCACATTAATGTATCGTCCTTTAAATTGTTCACATTGTTTTCTGGAACTTCAATTTCTTTACCATAGGTACGCATGTATTGATTTAAAATAGTGTCGTCAGAAGGAATGTTTTCAATGGATTTTTTTCTGAAAATAATTAAAAAGCACAATATTCATAAATTATAAATATACAAGTATATCAATTAATTGGAAAATTGGTCTTTGTAATTCATGATCTATATTGAATATCTCACGCACGCTAATAATTATGGCCTTGTGAAGTTCTTAAAAATTATACAAAAATTAAAATCCATAAGTGAAATCTTGTAATCAGGCATTTTTTTTTTTATCAATTTTCAAGGAACTAGTCCTTAGCATTACGAGCATAATGTCCCGTAGTTAATAAACATTATAAAATTGACTGTATTTTTAAAACTATGAATTTCCCTCATTCATTGAAAATTAAAATGATTTCAAATTTTTTTTTCTCCAAAATATCATTGCTATACAACTTTACAGAATAACCAAATCGAAATTTTGAATACATAATTGATACAAGATCATAAGTTAGTGCAAATTTCCAGTTAACGTAGTGTACCTATATATTATGTTAACATACTTTCGATCGTATCCAAAATAATTACTCCAATCAATAGACTTTTTCTTCAATTCTATTTTGGACTCCATATTATCCTCTCCCGACGTTAATGTTTTATTAACATTATTATTGTTTATGACTACAGTGGCGTTTTCATTGGCATTCGAGTCTGATTCTGATCCAAGAAAAATATTGTTGAGTTCTGCGGCTACTTTTGGGTCGGTGTGCGATTCGTTCAACGAAATATTTTTTTTTGACCTTTTCGTTAATCTCGGTTTTGTCCATTTGATTTGGTTTTTGTTGTACTTCCTCGCCTGATATCTCGGGATAAACAAATATTGCCTTTTCATTGAGTGCGATCTTTTATAAGGATCGTTTAAATGTTGGTATTCTTCTGGTATGTTACGTTTGTCTTCTCGGGACTTGAGAAAATTCTCCAGTTCTTCATCCGACATCCCTTGCACGTTTTCTTCGATGTATTTGTCTATAAGTGAATTCAACGCATACAAATAATTGTCTTGTTCTTCCATATTGTTCTTGTAATCTTGCACAATTCTGGGATCAGTCTTGTATCGTTCACGGAAAGCAGAAGGCATTGCATATCGATCGTATTTTAATTGTTGTAAATTATCCGGCACATCGGAATCTTCTCTTTCACGGAAAATCGATTTTTTACTCCAAGGTTTTTGATTGTATTGCGGATTTTCTCTAGATAAATAGCTGAGGAATTTTTCAGCCATTCCATCTTTAGATACCTTGCTTTTTGACGGCGCTCCTTGTTCGAATATATTTTCTAAATTTCTTAAATTCTTCTGATAACCGTAGCCAATGTCTTCGGGTTGGCCATCATCTAAAAATAAAAAATCAATAAAATAATTAATTTTCAAGTAATATTGTACAATTCAATAGTTTGTACACAATACATAAGTATATGTTTATATATTTTATACGTTAATTAGTTGATTTCATTTTAATTGTAATTAATAGTTTATCAATGGTAATATTTAATCGCAGTGTAAATAACAGTCAATAAGTATAGGTATATAATATAAATAAGGCTCAAATATTCTAAAGTATAAATGTGTTGCTAATGTTTGAAAGGGTATGTTGGAACAAATAAAACTATTAGTAAAAAAGAGTTACAGTTATCTCAGATAATGAATTGTGATTTATTCCTATAAACTTGCCCGATGGTCTTATGTATCAAACATTGATATTTAACTGACTTCGGTACTGTCCGTGAATAAATAAATAGTAAATTATAATAGGTGATTCCATTCTTATTACTCGATTTATATTCTAGCTTAACTTTTTTTTTTTTTTTATTTGCATTTGTTCGCACATTACAGCAAGAAAAGCTTAACTTTATTATTATCTATTTACATTTATTTTAAAACAAAACCAGTGTAACATTATACGCATTGTTAAAAAAAATTACTATTTGTTTTCTGCAATTAAATTAGCTATTAATTGTAAGAATATTCTTCATTTGAGCGATGAATTTTAACGCGTAGTTTTCAACGAAAACATTTGGGCGTAAGTATTTACTGTATTGGTATACTCGATATTCTATATACCTTCTTAGTACCATGATTTATTTCGATTTTCACCGTAGACACTTATGACGAAACGAAAATCGGGAATAATATTAAATTTAATTGGTCGATTATATTGTATACTTCTGTAAAAAAAAAAACAAATACGAAGAACTATCGAACAGCCGCATCGTAGGCGTTGTTTGGCACACATGACTGACTACACCAGCCGAATAATTATTAATGGGAACTTTGCCCCCTAGAATCTCCATAATAATTCTAACAAAAACAAGCGTAGGTATACTTTTAAAAAGTTCAACATATTACGTTACAATATATTGAAAGGAAAAAGAAACCTGGCGCATGGATATAATATTTTGAATTTCAGTTCATGCGAACTAAGATTAAATGTTTCATCGTTACTGCAATAAGAAAATGGGCACCTTTATATTACTTATCTTATAGATCACACCTACTGCGCCTTATTGTCTTTGGGATGACTTTAGATTCGTACATATTTTCGCTTCCTCGGGATGCATTAGATTATGAAAATCGCTACACCTGAACGCCAATATTGGGGGACTCTATTTACTTTTAAAAAAAAAAGCGTCCCCACAACTTGTTAAGCGTTATAATTATAACAATAATAGTAGAGGGGTGCTAAAATGTCTGAAAATTAGTTGAGGTACTGCGTCCCCCCTCAAGTCGAGCACTGGGACTATGCCCTTGTTAGTCGCACCCATGGATCGCGATGTAGCTGATCCACGTCGAAATCATCATTCGTCGTCGGTCCAGGCACGCGTCACCGTAACAATATTTTGCGCCTATCGAACGGGGGTAGGTGAGCCTGTGGCGGGCATCGACGCGTAGTGCTGGAGTCATTACCTGGGCCCAAGTAAACCACCCGGGACGGCGTCGCTCCAATTTTGTCGGAAATGGCTTCCAGCGCGGATCGCAGGCTGTCGTCGGAACACTGGACGCGGCCCGGCGTCCATATCGCGGCGACCACGCACACCGCCAGCGCACGGCGAGCGTTGATGACGTTGAACGGCGGCGCGACGGGCCGTTTCATTTTCCGGCGGTGAATGTCTCGGCGGGGCACGGGCTACTGACCGTTTCGGAACGACGAACAGCGCATGTAAGATCCCGTCGGAGAAACCGAAAGGGTACGACGACGTTACAGGTGGTGGTTGCCAGGCAATGGGACGGAGAACGAACTGCGCACGAAGCGGAATAAATCAATAGACGATCTCCTCGTGCCCTCGGGGCGCTACCCGTGGGGCGGAGGATCGACCGGCACAGTACCGCAGGGTCTATGGCGGGGGGGGGGGACTTCGGCTGTTGTGTACCATGTACGTGCGCGCGCTTTACGGTGACACACGGTGTTAGGCGAGGACGAATCGCACGAAAACCACAAATCGCACACACGTACACGATGTCCGTTAGGCATGTACCAGCGGTGTGGCGTTGCCTCCCGTTCTCTTGCGCAAAAATGTTTCGCCGGCGACGCGTACCTCGCGCGATGTTGCACACCTATCGTTACGAATCGTAGATGCACGTTAGTGGAGGGTGATTGGCATTAGCACCCCACCCAAGTTGCAAACGTGCACTTCCTCCGGAGACCCCGCCGAGCCATTTGTTATGGAAATATAGATTTGCTACCGAGGGCGGATCTGTTTACGATTGGGACATTTTATAGGAGAAATCATACAATAAAGCTGTTCATAGACATACGTAGGGATGTCTTGAGGACTTACACCCTCCCCCACCAAATGTGACAATATTGTACTAAGACTGTCAACATTTATTTTTCTTGTCTATTATTTAGTTTTTTTTTAATATACTTTATTTTTCAATATATTTTTTTTTCCAACAGCGATGGTACTAACCCCTATCTCTGGATCCACCCATGTTTGCTTCTATGTGTTCGTAATATAATTTTATTTCAACCATTATTTCAAACCATGTCCAGTCTTATGGTCATAATCAGTGATGTATTACTAAAATAAACCATATGAATACGCTTTATTTCATGTAGTTAACCGTCATATGGTAGAAATCCAAAAAACTCATTCATGAACTACACATTCTTAATTATAACTGTTTGATAGCAAAAACTTGATTTTAATTGATAACAAATTTGAATTTTTCATTAAAAAAAGAAAAATAATAGTAATATAACCGATACCGAATCACGTCATACATATAATCACAAATTTTATTATTTATATTTGTCAAATTTCAAGCTTTACGATAGATACGGCCGTATATCCGCGTATCATCAATTTCTCATAAGCTATACGCCATGGATAAAAATAGTGTATTGGGTATACGCCATATACCGCCGTATACTATCCAATACACCACTGGTCATAATTATTAATTTATGATAGTGAACTGAGCAAGTATTTTATAACTTTGAAAGTGATAGCCAATACACAATCTGATTGTTTTTCTCTAACTGAATAAACATTTCATGAAAATATTGATTACCTAATATAAATGACTATGACAATAAGACACAAATATTGACAAACTACTAGAAATAAACAATTCTTCTAAAAGTTCTAAAATTATTAAAATAATTATTTTTTTTTGATTATCAAGTTTTAAAAGTTTATGCCTACCGAGCGGTTATAAAAAATTAATACTAATAATATTAATAATAATAAAATACCATTTTATTTATTTTATTAGGAGAAATAAAAATTTGTCTGATCATTAGCTGACAGAGTATTGCAATCAGATGTTACTGGTACATTTGTTCGAATTTGAAAACTTTAATGTATCATGAGTAAATTAATAACTACTTAGTAAAAAAAATTCTAAATAAAGGTCGGTGAAAAATTGAAATAGTTATACAAAAAAATGAAAATAAAAAAAATAACTGCTTATGTAGGATATTTTTTTAAATGTTCAGAGCAAAGCAAAACAGCTTTATTATCATTTATTACTTTAATTATTCTTAGAGAATAATAAATGAACAATATTGAGTAAAATGTATGATACATTACATAACAATTTATTTTGAATTACCTTAAAGGTATTATGTAATATTTTAAAAATACACAATAGAATAGATAAAATGTTGAAAACTGTTTAATATTAAAAAGTTAGAACTTAATTAAATTTATTTTTCAGAGGTAGAATTTTTTCTGCATCATAACAGTCCCAAATCCACTGTGGAGGAACAGTATTTTTCAACTAAAAATATATATTAAAATAAGTATAAAATATGAGATGCAAAGGAAATAATGGTTTACCTTTAAATCTTTTGTATCAGATGAAACAATATAATCACATTTATCTCTTGAACTCAATTTTCTAAAAAAAAAAAAAAAAATGATACCCATGATACCCACAAAAAAGTAATTGATGATTGAAAATAAAAATAATATATTTACCCGTCAAGTGCTATTATATAGCGATAACATTCTTTTTTAAGTGAATGTTTTAAACTGCTAGATAAATAAAATGAATAATTATGAAACACATTATTTAGAAAAGGTAATGGTACATTGCTTTTGTCAGTTAATATATCAGAAGGAACATCTAAATCTGAATCAATATCAGTATCCGCATCAAAAATACTGTTTTCTTGAGTTTCTAAAATATTTGTTTGTGATGTTGATGGTTCTGGCGACCTAATGTTGAGTAAAAATAAGAACACAAAAGTTAGTAAATAAAATTTTCAGAATATTATGTTAAATTACTTCGAAGGAATATTGTTCCATTCATCATCGGAGTTTTCAGCAGGAACTGATTCAACAATTTCATGGATTTCATCTTCACTCTCAGGTTTATTTTGTTCCTGTTTATCTAGAGCAAATCTATAACAATTTTGATTGTATATAAAATAAATGAAGTGAAACACATTTGTGACTAATAATACCTTCTCCATGGAAATCGACATCTATTTGAATAGCATTTATCAATCCAATCACTCGTTGTAATACGATATGCTCCTTGTTTTTTGGCTTCTTGATACTTAGGTGTTTTAATAAAAGCACATCTATAAAACATAAAAAAAAAATTCTGTGAAAAACAACTAAAAATCGGATTTAAGTCAAGCTTTCTACACCTAACTTTTGCATAATTCCATTATAATTTCAGTGAAAATAACAAAAGAATAAGACCGATAATCTTTCATAGGTGAATTACATTTTAATCTAATACTTCTTTAATCTTTATTGATATAAATTATGCTGGTAATTGTAATATCTAGATTTGACAGTAATAGTTTAAGTGATGTTTATAATTTTTCATATCAAGTATCTAGTATGAGTATTGTTTTTAATTTTGTTTTTTTAGTGCCTTATAAACTGCATTTTCTAAAAATCTATCTATAACTTTAATAGTATTATGAGAAATTTTTAAATGTTTACGTCATTAACAAATACATTTTTTTATAAATTATTTTAAAGCATCGTAATCTAGGGCTGTATTAGTTAATATATAAAATTTGAAAAGAATTATTTTAGTATCTTCCTATAATAAAAATTATATAAACTATACTACTAAACATTGAGCTATTGTAGAGTAAATAATTAAAACATTATTACTTACATTAAATGAGTACATGACTGGTCCCAATTATGTTTATAAATTGCACCCATTTCTAAAGCTTTTGAACGTATTATACCTCTATAAGGATTTTCATAACCACTCATAGCAAATACTACATCGTTAAATAATTTACTAAATGGTTTTGTGTTTGGTAATGGATTTTTATTCAACTTAATTTTCTTTTTGGCAGGTTCTGAGCCTGACAAATCAGACTCTTTTCTTTTGTCAACTAAAAAATAAAAATAAATGTATAAATAAGTTTATAATTTCTACATTGCTCAAAATTATGTAAGATAATTACTAATATTAATTGTTAATTGTGTAACAACTCAAGCATAATATTTTTACTCTTAATTATAGAATTGAGTTTTTTAGTTTTAATATTTTTACATAACATAAAACAATTAATAAACAAAAAGTTATTCAAATAATTTATTATTATAAATTGGTTAACATCAATGATATACCATTTTCATGAAAATATCAATTTTTGAAATCAAAGATTAAATTGTTAAGAATTTAATTTAGTAATAATGAATGAGTTAAATTATTTGGTATGTAATTAAATAATAAATTATTTTGAAAATTTTACGAAGTAATAAATAAAAGATAATACAAAATTTATAATTAGATTACAATAATTTACATCTATAAGCATGGACTGTCAAGGTAAGCACAGTAAACCACAAACTTATTTGAATTTTTGGACAATTAATAGATGATAATTTACTAGGTGTTAGTTCTTGTAATTAAAATTATTTTATTAATATTAGTAATATACAAAATATTATTGTAGATTGGAAATAACAATATTAGTAATGGTAATATAAATAAAATATGTATTTTTAATGCAGATCATCTAACAAAAATACATATTTTATTTATTTATTTTTTGAACATGTAATTTAAAGTTGTTTTGTTGTATAACAAAAAAGTCAGTAAAATTATTAACCCTTATATTTATGGGTTAATGGCTCTGTTAAACACATAAGTCAAAAAAATATACTCTAATATACTAATTTATCATTTATGAAAAATACTTTCATAAGTGATAATGAAAATAATTTTTTTATTTTTATTGCAACACCTAATCAACAATTTGCATTGTGAAAATATTGACCATACCTTTTTTTTGAATAGCTAGTGAAGTACTTGAGGGTTTTTTTTTAACGTCTAATTCAATTTTATTAGTTTTTAAAGAATCTTTTGGAGTTTTGGAAATCTTCTGACTTGTTGAAGGTGAATTAATATTAGTTTTATAATCTGTATTTTTGTGTTTTTCAGCATTTAAGTTTCTTTTATGAAGTGCAAGTAAACGATTAACCGGTGATTCTGGCATTCTGACCATTTCTCTATTTTCATGTCGTTTGGAAAACAATCTACCAACAGATGTTAAATCATCAGGATCATCATAATTTCTTAATGTAAATGCTCCCAGTTGAATAGACTCTGGTTCAATAGGTTTTTTTTTAGGTTCATCTTTAGTATGAAATGTTATGAACGATAAGCCAAACTTTGCTTGCTTAATATAAGGTTGCGTACATACAATTTTTACTCTATCCCATGATTCCTTACAAGCAGGTGATAATTGATCAGAGTTAAAAAAACGAACTTTGTTTACATTTAGTCCGTTTTTACATTCGTGCAAAGACATCAAAGAAGAAGTTACCAATAGAACCTATATAATTAATAAAATTAGTATAATATAACAAAAGTAATTATTCATGTCTAAATTTACTTGAAATTCATCTGAAGTAGATTTTCCAACAAGTATTTCAATGAAAGCAGAATTGTCATTTCCCACGTCAATGGAACTAATGACTGATGATTTAAGCAATTGAAGAATTACCGTAGCTTGTTTTTCTCCAGCTTTACAACGCCATGTATGATGCGAATCCGAATTATGTAGAATGTTTTCTGCCTTATGAGCCTATTTGGAAAGTTTAATATGGTTAAATCGAATTTAAAACTGAAAAGCAAAAATACTGACTTGATCTTCACTACTTATGCTTATAATGCGATCGACAAGAATCGGTCCCATGTCTGTTGTTCTGTTTAAACTAACAATTTATACAGATTTAATAATGTCACATGCAAAATAAAATAAATACAGAATTCTAATAAATTGCCACGAATTATTTTACATTCGGTTGCACACAATTACCATGATTTTTCACATGTTAAGTAATAGCAAAACGGTCAAATAAGACGATGGTCAACTTTAAAATTCAAATACAAATTTTGATAAAAAATGACCAACTTTGTTGGTATATTGTTCTGTTATCACCATTAAATACCGCGTGAACACGATTCTCAACCATTCTTTATCATCCATAATTTCCAAACGGCAATATACATCACAAACACGTATAATCACATAACACGCATAGTTAACATTTTTTTCCTGCACAGATATTAAAGAAATTAGTTTTATTATTTTTTTTATATTAACTGAAGTATTTGAAAAATTGATTTTTTATTTGTTATATTGTTTCAAATTTAATACTACGATTACTTTTGCTTGGTTTTTTTTCTATCTTATGTGATATTTTAGAAATAATATACAATGGATATCTGCAGCAAAAGTCTGAACATAACTGCAGAGTTTACGAGCGGACTTCAGATCTTATTCAACAATGTTAAGAAACACAACGTTGTATTGCCAGAAACAGATGAGCCCTGGACCCTGGGCTTACTCCTGATCTGGATCAAGGACAATTTGTTGGTCGAAAAAGAGAAATGCGATTTGTTTTTGAAAGGCAATACTGTAAGACCTGGCATTATAGTAGCAGTCAATGACCAAGATTGGGAACTTTTAGGCAATGTGAAATACCAAATTAAGAACAATGATAACATAACCTTTATATCAACATTACATGGTGGTTAATAAATACAATGTATAAGTTTTAATTTCATGTTTGTTTATTGAAGATTAATACATTGATACTTCTACATATTTTGGAACAATACAATTATACACATTATATATTTTTCCTACCATGGTCAACGAAATAATTTAAAAAAAAAATTAGTTATAAATTATGGAAAATTCATTGATTTCAAGGGTTCACTTTGTTTACTTTTTTAATTTTAAAAGTTCATTTTCGAATGCATCAGCAATTTGTGAATCTTTAAATTTGAATAGAACAGTTTGTGGTTTAGTACTTTTGGTAGCATCAAGAACACAAATCAGTTGAACATTTTTTGCATTACGCTTAGTAAAATTAACTGATTCATTAAGTAATGTATTAGCCATAATAGTACCCAAGGCACTATCATTTCTCATGATCAATTGAATTTTTTTATCATCAATAGGTTTCAAATACAACTGGCCCACTCCACGTTCTTCGTATTTACCATTTTGCAAGCAATATAGTTTACTTTTAGTCTCAAAAATTGCATCGTTTTCCTTAACAGGTGTGAAATTCACAATAGGTGGTTGATCTTCATCTTCTTCTTCATCTTTTGGCTTTTGAATTTCAGTATTTTTACTTGAATCAGGTACAGAATTTGTATTAGATGGATTTGAACCAAAAGAAAAAAAAGGCTTGTTATCATTTTGTTGCTCCGTAGGTTTAAATGAAAATGTTGCATTAGTACCAAAATTAAATGAAGGTGTACTGAATTTCATTTCAGGCGTTTTACTTAAAGGTGAAGTTTTTTTATCACCAAATACAAAATCAGAAGACTTGTTATTGAGCGTAGATGAAAATGACTGTTCATGATTAAATTTAAAATTGCTCAATTTAAATTCACCAGCAGTTGTAGGGGTTTTTATTGGTTCTGATAAAACATTTTGGGTTTTAGGTTCTAGACTCTCTTCCTTAAGTTTTTCATTGGTATTATCAAGTTTCACATCACTTTTTTTTGATTCATTGGCATCAGTAACTGGACTTTTGTTACCAAAATTAAATAATAGTCCATTGTTAGAAGTATTACTAATTGGATTTGTAAAACTAGTAGGAGTTTTTTGAACATTAACAGAATTATTCTTTACTTCATCAGAATCCTTAACACGTTTTTCAGTATTTTCAAATGATGATATTTGAGGAGAATCTGAAAATTTTAATTACAATATTTTAAAATAATAATAAATAAATATTAACAATCTCAATAATATTATAAAATATTTGCATTAGAAATTAAAATTGTCTTCATATTTTTTTCCTTTAGAACTTTAATTTAAATAAACCATTACTAAACAATATGGTATTATTATTTAAGTTTTATTTTTAAGTAATCAAGAAAAAAAAATTATAAAATAATAATATATTTAAAAAAAACATTTATCTCGATTATAAGAAGCGGAAGCAACTACATAAAAAATGTTCTCCTTCAATATTAATACAAATGAGAATATTTAATGCTATGATTTTTTTAAATCTCAAATAAGTGTAAAATTTAATAAAGGAAACTTTAATAATATTAAAACATTTGAAATTTAATTCAGAATTAATTTAAAGTTTTAAAATTAAATCAAATTTTAATTAATTTTTGTATTCAAAAAGGTATTATTCATTTGAACTAAATATAATAATATCTGCATACACATATTACATATATTCCCAACACTTTTCATTACTTTTTGCAGATAAACCCCAATTTTCATCACCTAATATACATACTTTACAAAATATATAAATAAACAAACTTTTAGTTGTAGCCATTGAAGAATCGGAAGTGTTTGTCTTGCAGCCAAATAGATTAACAAATTTGCTTATTTGTTTTTCATAATCTTTTAATGTTGGAGTTAACACACAGTATGGATTTTGTTGTACTGCATTAGTAACAAATTTAACAAATGCTTCATTAAGTTTCATCACTTTAACAGGATTAATAATATTTGGAGCTGAACTTTTGGAATAATTATTATCTGAAAATTGTAAACTGCTTGATACTGACATTGAATTTATTGTGGATGCTGATGGATGGTTTCCACTTTCACTAGGTATTTCATTGCATTTTGATAGAAAAGAAAATGCTTGTTTTGAATTTGAATTGCTATTGATATTGTTAAATCCAGAAAATCCAGAGAATATTGGTTTTATTTCAGATTCATCTCTTTGTATTGTCCTTTTAGCTTTTTTCATAACTCTATTCTTTAACACAGTCTCATCTGCTACTTTGAATACACCAGTTTCAACTTTTTCTTCTTCTTCATCCCAATTATCTCTGGTCAATTCAGAACCAGCCCTCCGCTTACTCATGATGAATATTCCAATACTTTTAAACTAAAATCATCAGAATTACAATTTTAAAATGCATTATATAATTGATATTTAAGTTTCAAAATCAAAATATGTAAATATAATAATAATAATATAAATATAATAAATAAAATATATATATATATATATATATATATATTATATAATAATATACCATATTTTTTTATATAATAAAATACATACCTAATATGTATAGGTATAAAAAAATATAAAATATTTTAAAAATTAGAAAAAATACAATACGTTTTATTAAAATGTGATGACGCGTATCATGTGTTTCATATTTAAGTAAAGTACATTTATAGCAACTGCAGATTTCACCATAATAGCATAATTAGTTAAAAAATAGTAAAACATTTATACTCCAAAAATGTTAAATTTGTAATTATTAAATAGCGAATTATGAATGAAAGTAAAAATATTAATTTGGTTGAACAAAAAAATTAATAGTTAATTTCAACTGAAATTATATATTTTTTATAACTCAATTCCCATTTGATTTATCTATATATAAATAACATGGAATAATTTATTCATAAACTTAAACTATAAGTAAATAATGAAAAATTACTAATAAAATTATAATTTGACATATGGACATACTATATTTTTATTACATGAAAATAAATAAATAATTTGAAAACAATAGCCAACATTAGATAAATCTGCTAAGCTTTTTATTTTAATTTACATCATATAATCTTTAATTTAAATTGTTTATTATACATATATATTCAATTGTTGATGATGATAGTATACACTAAATATAAAATAAATGTTATTAAATACTGGAAGTTGGGAATTGATTCAGATTGGTTTCAAAATGTAACTACATTATCAGTATATTAAGTGGAAAGTATAATATAAAGAAAACTATTGAAAGTTAGTTAGGATTAGTATGTTTGTATAAGAAACTTTAGTACTAGGATTTAAATACATACAGCGATAATTTAATTTAATAATCTAGTGATTGGCAATAGCATTTATGACATAATAGGGTTATTCAAGTTATTTTACAAATATTTACTGAACAAATCTGGCTAATAATAAAAATATAGTATTATAAGTGAACAAGTATTTGTATATTTCTTAATGGTACAATCCCTACTAGTTAATAAATTCAATCTAGCGACTAAACCATAAAAATTTAATTCTTACTCACCTTTTTTGTAACACAATTGGAATACCGATTAATGTGTCCAGTTCGTATTATAGTAACTCAAGCAGCAATATATCATTTATAAATTGGAATAGGTATTCAATACGGAATAACGGTTAAATTTTGGGAGATTAAGTAATACTTCAAAGTTGTACACAATTCATCAGGAAGACAGCATTAACCCAATAGTGCAATACCCTAAACGAACCAAACAACAAAATCACAACTCCCATGCTCATATTTATAAAATCGAAAACAAATGATAATGTGACATAGAAAATGATAATGAAATAAGTTGGTTGCACTGTAAATGTTGATTGTTTTTGTTCCGTTAAATATGACTTATATTCGACCTATTTCTTAAAAATGTTCTATGCTCTTTAAAGATTGTTATTTATGATGTTATGTTTAAGTAGTCAATAAATCATAAGTTGAGCAAAATATAATTTTTAACCATAAGCGTGTGCTGACATTATTGGCAGGGTAGTCATATACAACACATTAACATTAATTACAACAAATTTGGATGGAGTAATTTCGATTAACTTAATAACTATATTTTTCCAATATTCTTATACATGTATTTATCGTTTACGGGCGTTTCGAAGTGGTTGAACATAATATGGTTATTTATTATTGTGATAATATTAAATATTTTATCGAGGGTGAGAAGGTTTACAAAGTAGTCGAGTGACCACCCTGACTACCTCGTGCGCACGCTTATGATAATGACTTGTGTGGCTAGGCAATATGGGTTATTAATTTTAAAGAAAATCCTGTTTAAATAATGGTATAAAATATACCTAATGTAATTGCAGCCAATGAAGCATTTATAATTTATTTAATATTTTAACATTACCATTTAACTAAGATTTTTTTTTTTCAAGAATTTAGAATTATTTTTTTTTTATTGACATTCATAATAATAAGTTACTGCATCAAAATTAAAATTGTAATTTCTATTATTTGGTGCTCCCAGCTAAATGGGGGGGGCCTTGGGCACGTGCCCTTCCTGTCCATAGGATAAAAACGGAAACAGTGGCGTAGCTAGGTAGGAAAGAACTCCTGTGCAGTAAAAATAATTGGGCCCCTCTCTAATATTATCTTAACGTAAAAATTCAAAATATATACGTTACATAGCTCTTTCAAATAAGAATACTTATTATGAAATGATAAATAAAAATAATTAACGGATATCTAATTAATAATTATACAAAGTAAAAAGAAAATCAACTATAAAAAATTATTATTCTACTTAAATACTCCATCATAATCCTAGAATTGATTTCTAATAAATAATTGTCACGTACTATTTAATTTTAATATTTAATAATTACTATTCTTAACATTCCATAATTAATATTCTCAATATTCTATAGTTACTCTTATTATTTTCCGTCTTGTTCTTTATAACATTATATACACTATTTTCCCTGACATATAATGTATAATTTAGGAATTAAAATTATAAACATTTTTAATTATTTGAAATAATTATAGTCTCAGAATTGTCCAAAGATTCCAAGGCCCTTTGTGCTCCGGGGCATTACCCCACTTTGCCCTATGGTAGTTATGGCATTGGACGAAACTGTTTACGGCGATACATATTTACATTAGTAAACATGATGGACCATGATAGTGTTCGTAATTAGAATACTTAAAACCTGTATGCAAATCAAATTCTTGGTGCACCTTATTATAATACCTACATTTTTCAATAACAACTAAACAATTTAGTTTTTAAAGGGGAGACGGATTTTTTAAATTTAAAAGTTTGAATAAATACAATACTTAATATCTAAATAAATATGATAATTAATTATTTAAATAAATAATTTACTTTATACTATTATACCAAAGGAATGTTAAAAAATGTAACATAATTAAACTCTACTTAAGTTATTATACATAATACTGGTAGGTACCAATGTTATTGTTCAAAAACTACTAGTTTACTAGAATATCTAATCATTAAAAACATAATATACAAGAGAAAATAAATATTATATTTATTTTTAAAAAAACTATTGCACATTATTTGTATATTATTTTTTTTATAATATTCATAATTCTTAGTTGATGGTCTTTAAGAACAAATGATAAACATATGTCACGCCATCTCTCTAATATTATATAATACCTATTCATAATATGATTTAGATATGAGAAAATAATGCAATAACCTAGAAGGATTGCTTTCATTCAATTAATTATATATTGATATTTTCAAATCATTTATGACTTTTGAACCTTTTATTCTTTCGAGGGAGAGATTTGAGATCAGCCCCCTCCGAAAATATTCCTCTAATTATATAATGCACTAATTATGTAGTAAAATACTCAAAATAGTAAATTCTATTAATTTGATTGGTTTTTGTATTTTAACTCATATTTTCCCTTTGATCAATCAGTAAAAATGTCTGTAAAATATATCAGTTAATATATATTATAGCAAAGGCTCATTAAAATTAAAATTAAAAAAAAAAAAATAGAACTAAAAACAATATCACCATTTCACTTTCTGGCCCAGGGATCATTCAAAAATAAAAAAAAAAAATCACTATAACTCCTTTCTAACAATTAATGGTAAAATAATTATAATCTAAATGTAAACTCTTCTAACATAACTATACATGTATAGGTATATATATATAAACAAATATCTTTATGAACTAATAAATAACATAATAAAATGTAAGTTATTATTGAAGATAAAGGTACTGTTTTTGTTGGAGATATATATTAAGAGATATGTTGGGAGTTTAAGCATCCGCTCTAGTATTACTTCAAGAGTAATTTTTTATAAAATACAATTATTTGTTTGAAAGGGGACAAGAGGTGATGTGATATTAATTTCTTCTTTTAGAATGGTCATCTCTCGTTGAGTGAAAGTGAAACCAATGATGACTGAATTCGAATCTTAAGCGAATTTTATATGAAACGTGATACTATCGATTGATCTGGAGTATGAATGTATTGTAAGTGCATTGATCAAATTTGACTGGGTTTGTCAATATATATATATATATATATATTCGTTTACTATATTTATAAATATTGACAAATTTTTCCGAATCGGATGGGAAACAAATATTTGTCGGTGACTAACGTTTATTTGTTAAAAAAGTACTATTCATGTTAATATTATTTATTATATTATTATTGTTATTTATTTCATTTTCAAATTTCATTATTTGGCGCTTCAATTTATCATTAATTTATCAACAAAAATAAATACTCTCTTTTTTCATAAAATAAGCGATAAAGTAACCTCAAAATATTTAGAATTTCTTTGGCCTATAACTTGTTACGCATGCGCATGACGTCCTGCAATACTCCTTTTCGCCATTGAGTGAGAGCGTGACGATATCTTCCTTTTTCAAACCACGTTGGAAACGCCGTACTGTATTCTGATTCTATTTCTTTCAAATAATTTTGTTGATATTCGGGTTTTTCAGGATCGCTTAACCAAATTACTATGGCTGTCGGTAAAAACAAAGGTCTGTCTAAAGGTGGAAAGAAGGGATTAAAGAAGAAGATGTAAGTACATAACATTTCGTATCGGCCGTAGTGTGATTACGCACATACGCGATTGATTAAGAAATTTATTTATTTCTGAACGTTAAAAGTATGTATTATATTTTAACTCTTTTCAACTTTATGTGTTAAGTATCGACCCGTTCACCCGCAAGGATTGGTACAATGTCCGTGCTCCATGTATGTTTACAAACCGCGATGTCGGCAAAACACTCGTCAATCGTACACAGGGAACGAGTAAGTGTTGTAGAACATTAAATGCAATTTTTTTTTTTCGGCTATATTTATATGTATGTATGTATTCAAAATGTAGTAATTTTAAAATTACTCTAAAACGTCGAGGTATGTTAATTAGATGCATGAAACTGTTTAAAAAAGTTGCATCAAGTAATTACACTTCAAAAAAGAACTCGATTTTATTAAAAGAATATGTTTTAATCACTTTTTATTTTTATTCATTTTTTTATGTATCAATTTTTAAGTTTTAAATCCATAATTGTTTTCATCCATCATCCATTGCATTTTTAATAAAATTAGTGTACATAAATGTACATAAGATGTGTATTGTGAGTAATAACACTTTTCTTTACTAGTGTTAATTTTATTTAATCATTATTTTATTTTCTTCCTAATATTATTAGTGAATTCTAAATTGCCATTATAAATAAACTAAGCATATCTATTAATGGACCGTTTAGAATAATAGCTATTTCTTTATCAACTATTAAGTTAAAAAAAGGGAATGCTAATAACATACTTAAAAACAAGTGCTAGTTTTCTAATTTTCAGATGAGCAAAAACAAAATGTCTTTGTTTTATTTGATAGTAGTACTTTAGTATTTAATTAAGCTTCTGGAATGATCTTATTACAAATTTTGATTTCATTGTTTTTTCATCTTTATTATATTACTTATATATTGGAATGTTGAGTTAATTATTAGTCATTATAAATATGGTTAAAACCTACCATTTCTTAGAATTTATACCTTAAAAAATATGCTTAAATCCTACTATTATAACATTTCTGTTCATATATTTTTAAATTAATATCTCATTTCTAAATAGTCCTCTGACCATTAGTGTTTGAGTATATATAATACTTAAGCTGTTGATTTTATTATAGTATATACCAATGGTTCTTTTGTGTCTTACCAGTTGATATATTCTTTCACATCTCTCCCCACCCCATCACCCTATTTTAAGTTGTACTATTCTCTTAAAATGTTTTCCTATTGTACCATCTTTGCTGAGGTATTCTCAGTCTTTTCCTGTTAACATTTTTAATATTTATTTGGTTTATCTTTCAGTTGTTGTAGGTTTACATATTTTCTTGTTTTCATTTTCTACTACCCTTATATTGTAGCTGTCTTTGATTAGCTTTTTGTACTATTCTCAATATCATATCTAGGTACGATTATAACTTTTTACCAGTAAAATTATAAACATGGATACAGTATCTATTCTCACTAAAACTTTTGATTATAATAATTTTTATTTTATCTTCAGAAATTGCATCGGAAGGTTTAAAACATCGTGTTTTTGAAGTATCTCTTGCTGATTTGCAAGAAGATGATGGAGCTGAAAGGAGTTTCCGTAAATTCAAATTAATTGCTGAAGATGTTAAGGGCAGAAATGTTCTAACAAATTTCCACGGAATGGACCTTACCACTGACAAATTGCGTTCAATGGTTAAGAAATGGCAAACTCTTATTGAAGC